CCATCAGTTGCAACAATGCCAAGTTTCATTCGTAGATACAATAGTGCCTCGGTGAGCCAGGGGTCATAATGACCTTTATGCATACGCTGATAGCGATTCATGGTGCCAACCTTTTTTAAATTAAAAACTCTTCATAAGTAATGCAATATAATTAAACGACATGCTACATATGCTTCTTACTCTGATATTATGCCGAAGACGATATTCAGCCAAAAAACAATGGGCCATGTGGGGTCCAGCTCCACTAGAACCAATAGCGCGTATAATGTTTTCATGAACCCCTCCCTCGAGAGAGTTGGTACCGCGACAACAGCGATATAGTGGTAAGCCTGCTTTCTTGTCGTATCCAATTTTAAAATACATCGACACATCAGGATGGTCTGAAATTTGGCCTTCATAAATCGCCTTGAGCATATTTTGAGCTTGATGGCGAGCATCGTTGTCAAATAATCTTCGTCCTGTCCTTGTGCAGATGAGGTTGCCATACTCTGTGAACAGGTTCTGAACAACCGGCTCGAGTTCGTTTGGTGGTGGCACAAAACGTTTTACCCTTCGCAAAATCCAAGAAGGATTGCTGTTGAGCATGTATGTCCAAGTAAGTCCTTGTTTTGCTAGGTATTCCTCCACTTTTCGTCTGTCGTGAGGATCCACAACGAAGATTGCATCCCGTAGTCGGCGGCTGAACTCCTTTGCTAGCATGTGGCGCTTGGGCACTTTAATCAATGCCATGAAATGATATATATCTTTTAAGACTCTTGATGGATTTTGGTTGGTTTGGTGCGAACTATATTGCTGTGCTTCAATGCTGGCTATGTCGGTCTGTGGAGAGTCAGCAATCAGTGGAGTTGTCGATGTAATTTGATTGTTGCAAACGTCGTCCGCTTCTTCATCAGATGATAACAGCTCTTCCGAGTTTCCGTCGTCTTCGTCCAAAGCATCATTAGGCGAGTTCGAATTCATGGTGATACATGGCGTTTCTGCATCTGTTGAGCTACATGTATTATAGTGCTGTTGCTGGCACAGCGATTTCTTTTCGAATCGTAGCATGGACGTAGGTAATGTGATTGCAAACGGTGGTTGACCGAAATCGGCTAAAGTCTTCTCATATATACTGATTATTGCACCGGGGATAGCGACATTATTTATTTGTACTATCGTGCTATCCGCATATGCTAGCAACAAATAAATAGTTGTATATATTAGCGAGCTTTTCTCATAAAAAGCTTACATATTAAACTAACCTGATGCCCGTTTTGAGTTATCTCCCCATAAGCAATCGGACGTGACCATAGACTAGCCGAGGATATTGCAACAAAAGCTCCTTGTGGTACAGGCCACGGTATGGCTTTACCAACGGTAAGAAACGGGGCAAGTTTTGTGTATATAGCAAGTGATGCCCAAGTATCCAGCGCTGCATAATATTTGAGTTGGCGAAAGATCTCGTGCCTCCCAATCGCTCTTCCTAATATTCTTCTCCAATGGGGCGCCTAGCACTGCTTCTGCTAACACAGATAACGACACTCCTCCATTGTCGACAAAGCCACGCCTACGAGAAAATTTGCCAAGCTCCAGTGCCGTATTTTCGTTACATGATAAAAAGTAATCACGATGGAGCTTTTTCATGTCACCACCTACGTGACGGCCAGCTTTCAGTACTTTGGGAGACAGGAGAAGAGCACAGAGTGATGCTGGTACACTGTCAAACTGGTGTATTGGTAGTATAAAAACATCGTCCTATAGCAGAGTTAATCAGATTACCGAGTAAGCATACGTTTATACAGATGCTGCTATGATAATAAAATGTTATACCTTGTATGCTAGCTGCACCGTTGCCACTTTTCCCGGAGGAGGGTAATTCCATTCACAATCCATGCCGATGACAATAGTACTCGTTTTAGAGTCTTCCATTATGTTTCGGTTTATCACGTCGTTTGCTTCTATAGCGTCTCGAACATAGTGGGTTTTGATGTTGTTTGGTAGTCGTAGGAAAGGTGCTTGGTTTTTAACATTTTGACTTGCAGATTGTTGTGTTTGCTTTGGTCCGTCGTTTAGAGATTTGATCACTTTCAACAAAAACGCCTTATCCCCTCGCACATTGTCAGTGAAGAACAAACGAGGCGGTTTAAAGCCATATTGGTTGTACAGTATGGCTTCATCATTTTTTCAAAGGGAGTCTTCAAGTGCGATAGAGATTTTGTCGGGACTAGCAGCTGCATACGTATCTCTTCATATTCGTTACATACTGTGTATAAGGCACCAAAGGTCGGTGCATCGCCCATTTTAGCAATTTTCTTGATGAACTTGAAGGTATGATCACCCTTCAATATCTCGCCATCGACTGCTGCTATTTGCTTGTCCAGAAACGGGCGTAGTACATCCAGAACAGCGTTGTAAATTAAGCGAAAATACGGAATGGATGGGATATAGCCGGCGTAGCCTTGAGGATTGTCAAATGTCGAAAATTCTGCATATGTTTTGGTCGCATTCCATGTCTCGACCAAAGTACGCTGATTTTGCTGATGATCCAGTTGATTTAGAGTATATAAGATATGAAGTCGGATATGTCGTTTGGTATGAAGCTCTTGTAGCATGTCATGAAAATTGGAGATTCCCATAGCATGTTGCATGCAAGGTCGCAGTATGTCGATCAATTCTTTTGATACAGCGCTTCGGTAAGTCAGAATGGCCGGAAACTCTGCTGCTAGCTGTTCCGGAAGTTGCGACAAAATATTCCCATCATGGGCGCCTAATGACTTTTTGCACACGGAGCACTCGTATCGTCGTGAGATTATATAAAAAGACCTTGTATATCAGTCGTGTAAATTAGCTTGGTTATTCCATTACTTATTCACTTATTGTTGCTTTAAAAGTATATGTACCTGTGCATGTCCACAACTCTACGCGCACAAGGATCTTTGTAAAAGCCTTTATTAGTAAGTCGCGACTCTTTGTCGATGCAGCATTCCTCGCGGCAATACAGTTTGTTCACCAAGACATGTGGCAGCCACAGAAATACTCGTGGGTGGTACAGGATTCCGGGGTCCAAGATGTTTTGGTCTTTCATTGCAAAATAAGGCGACTTTGGCTCCACCCAAAAGGTGCCTCTTCTGTACTCGCTCGGATAGCCACCATCTTTACGGGAGATGCGGTTTTGCATGTTAAGAAAATACTCTGCAAGCACACCACGGCTTTGCTCTTTGTAAGTTCTATCGTCGTTTCGAAGTTCCTCCAATTCATCATCTGGAATAGCGCTACCGCCGCATTCTACACCAACGCTACCAGTGATTTGATCGTCCCTCTCTGGCGTCTCATCCTCCTCAATTTCATGCAGCAAGTCGCTCAAAGTATAGCACTCGCCACTGTCATCATTTTGGGAGCACTATCACATGTATGATTGTTTTGACAAAGAGAATAGTATATAAGTTGCATGAAAGGTAGATTTGTTTTATTGGGTTTCTATGAGTCTTTATGCTATTAACCTGAGAGGGAAAGCCATTATGTACATCAGTATGAGCTTGCTCGCTTTGTTGCTCAAGATTTGTATCGACTGAATGGTCGCACGTGTCAAACGTGGATGGGGTTGGACGCGGCGTCCAGAACTGAAGCGTGCGTTGCCCAGCAGGAGGTTCGTTGGTTTTTTGCTTCTTGTTTTTGCTCCCTTTGGGTCTACCGCGACCGCGTTTTACCGAAGATGAGGAGATATCTTCCATGTTTTTAGGATATATAACAAATAGAAGAAAGAAAAGCGTTGAGCGTGGGTGCGAAAACGCTCTCACTTGTAAGAAACGCTACAAGAACTAGGTTTCTCTGTGTAACTGTAACAACACATCCTTAAGTCATAATTTGATTGGACAGATGTTACAGAGCCTGTTAAAGCACTTTCCCTTAACTTTCAAAATGATTGGCAGAATCTTGCCCCAGGAGCTTTAACCCCGCCCTGGAAAGCTGTCTGTGCATCAATGATGATAACGATGGTGTACAGCTCTCAATCAGATTAAACCGTCTTTTAAGGACACCAGAATTAACAATAATACCAGAATGTTGGGATTGATTGATTTAATAAATGATGAAGTAACAATTCGAAGGCAAAAAAAAATACTATTTTTAAGAAGGGACTAAAATTACACCCGCCATTATGAAATTTGTAAATCTGCCATCAACCTGAAATTACAGCGCCATTGTAATTTTCATCATCTGCCAATAAACCCCCCCCCCAACGCCAAAATAAAAAAAAAGAGCTCGCCATGATGGGAAAAAATGCCCCGCCAATCATTAGGAAAAATCCTGTAAAAGGGTCAAGTGTGATAGAGTATTTACCGTAGGGAAAGACAAACCTTAAATAGTGATTATATTTGAATAGCAACCGACGGTGGCAGTGGTAGTAGTAGTAATAGCTGTTGCCTGGCCCTCGTGTGCAACTGTGTATATTATACCCACAATTTATTTTATAGCTTCAACCTCCGCGCCCCGTGCCATCAGCGTATCTCATGCAGCAAAAGCACCAAGAGGGCCGTCATTATTAATAATAAGAGTCGTACACAAGATTACGTGACGACGATTTTTTTGCAGACACCACTTGTCAACTGATTCAAAAGGGCAAAAGCTGGCCTTTCTTTGCTGCTCTTTTCCCTTTTCCTTTTTTTCTTCCCCCTTCCAAACGATCCCCTTGGCCCTCCCTCCCTCCTCCCCCCAAACCCTTTTTTTTTTAATACGAGCAGGTTTCGCTATTAAAAAAAGACATGTACTCAACGACTTCACCACACGACGTACGCAACAACAACAACAACAACAACAACAACAATACTACACCTCCGTCGACCGTCACCGTACCACGACGACGACGACCATCCTCGGCACAGAAGCATCGATACGATGCACATCACCAGAGCGTTGTTAGCATGAGCAGCGTATCCAGCAAAGGAAGCAGCAACTACACTCGCTATCCGAGTGGCATGACCAATCTTACAGCGTTTTCGTCTGAAACAGCACCGTCGTTGAACATGTCACCGTCCACGTCGACGTCCACAGCAAACAACTTTTATTACCCGCAACAGCGAGCGTCACAGCCAACCACGACATATCCAGACGAAGGCGGACGCTTTTCCGAAGACCAATTCGACATCATTGACAGCCTAGACTATGACGACGTAGACGATGGGCTGATCGGTACGCCTATATAAACTAGAATAAGCCAATCCAGAGAAGCAGCAGTAGTATGAGTAGTCTAACAGTGCATTGTTTTAGACCACGAATTGGTGCATCGAAATCGAGAAGCACTCGTCCAACAACTGTACAATTCGGAAACAGCCTACCTCGAATCGCTCAATTTAGTCGCAAACGTCTTTATGCAGCCCTTACGTAAAGACGCCAAACAGTCCTCGTTTGCGTTTCTTGGCATGAAGAAGATGGTCTGCACTGAGCGTGAGACGCGTTGGCTGTTTGGTAATTTTGATGACATAGTGCAGACACAACGTGCCATCCTGGCCAGTCTTGAGCGACGGTAAGTAAGGGACGTGTGTGTGTGTACCTGGGAAGCAAGAGCTCTGATTATTTTTTTTCCAGACTGAAGATTTGGGGCCCTACGCAGATTATTTCGGATGTTTTTCATGGTTGGGCAAGTATTTATTTCGTGTCAGCTTGTTTTGCTGTTGTGCTCGTGTGTGATGTGCACACACAACTCATATTTTTTCGCGTATGTGTAATTTCTAAATTTTTCCTTCTTTCCTGCGTGCACACGCCTACAGTTTCAACTATTGCATGTCTATCAAGCCTATCTCGACAACTACGATGTTGCAGTGACAACCTATGAGCGCTTGACTCGGTACCAACCATTCAAGAAGTTTATTGATGTAAGTACCAAGTCTCTGTCCCAGGTTACACCCTCTCTACTGCTGCTCGTCACACCCTCACGAAAAAAAAAAAGGAAATTACCCGCTCAAAAGAGCTTTTATTGATCGGCAAAACCATACCTTATATATATAATCATCTTCCATCAGTCAGCACACAAGGATTCATCGTTGAGGGGTGCTACGCTGTTGTCGTTGCTACAGATCCCTGCAGGATGCATCAATCGATACGCACAGCTCATCAGTAAGCTAGCCGATGTGACGACGCCCATGCATCCAGACTATATGGGCTTATTGACGTGTAAACAACGCATCATTGCATTGGCCGAAGAGATTAAACCAAAGTATGTATGAATGCTACCGGTCGGGAAAATACGGACAGAACTCCCTCTAATCATACCTATGCTATCTATCGATTGGGGTTAAAAAGGGTGGACGATGCAGATAATGTCGATCAGGTGCTCATGATCCACCAAGCCTTGATCGGCGCTCCATTCGGCGTCAAAGCCCAACGACGGCTAGTTCTCCAAGGACAACTTGCGCGAGTCGTCGTCAATTCACGATCGACGGGTGAAGAGCGCACCTACTTTTTGTTTTCAGATCTTCTTGCATTTGTGCGACCCAAGCAAGATGGAAAACGGACGCTTCTGCAGTACAAAGGGCACATCACCCTGGAACGGGCACGTGTGCGCGCGCTTACGGCTGAAGAAGCCGGTGCGCAAGACCATTGCATTGAAATTGTATCGTCCTTTCAAGGTGTCGACACGCTGAACACGACGTACATGGGTGCACCAACAACGCATGTGCTGTGTACAAACAGTAAAGAGGAGCAGGAAGAGTGGCTGAAACAGTTGGAAGTGGTGATTCACAGTTTGGATCGGGCTGCTACTCGCGCGAAAAATGGTAACACCTTTTATATTTTTGATGGGCTTCTTTTCTTTTTCCATATCATCAAGCATGTACTTACTCTCCCTGTGTGTGTGTATATATATATATATACTTTTACCAGCTGCACAAAGTCGACGCATGGCCCATAATCGCTCCATGGCATCCGAAGGTTCCTTGCGGCGCTTAGGCGGTAGCTCGAGAGCATCGAGCCAATCTTCTGGGAGCACAAACGGGAGTAGTGGTACAACAATGTCGCGAGGACCTGGCCCCTCCTCACCTACTCCTAGACGCTAAAACCATTTATTCAGCGCACGCATGCTCTCTCAACACGCATTCATTACACCTTCTTTGCATCCCGATACCCTCACGTTCTATTCTCTGCATTATATAGCATGTCATCTCTTATATACTCTATCCGTCATCGTTAATCATACCTATTCCCCAAAAAACAAGAGACTTATCACCGTTGCGTTTTTCCTTTCTTTCTGTACATTGTATATCTCTCTTTTTGAACTAGTCTGTGTTTTTCTGTAAAATATAATATCATTAGGTATCAAGCATTTGGGAAATTTAGCTTTGATCGGTCTTTTTCCTCTTCTACGATAAGAAAAGACGTTGGTGCGACGGTACTCAAACACTGCCAATGTCGCTTGTTTCTTTCTCATCTCATTACCACCTTGTATCTTTGCGCTCCACTGCTATGATAATCAAAAAGAAAGTTTGTGCCATGGACAAAAGATTAAAATGATTGGGCAAAACAAGGTAATACGTTTTACCCGCTTTTGGTATTGCCAAGCGACACTACATACACTGTACATATTAGCAAATCGGAAAGAGAAAAAGGGTTGTTGTTTTGTGGCACGTGTAAAGAACTTTGTTCTTGCTGGATTGATAATATTAATCGACCTGCATACATGCATATAGACTTCTTCCTTTTGTGGCATCCGTAATCTAAGAACTGTCCTTATTCTCCGTTCCATTGGGTTGGTTTTCTGTCAGTGCACACATAAACATATTATTATTCTTCGTATTTTTCACCCAGCTTGAACGGCGTTATTCGGGATAATGAGATAACATCAAATGTTCTTAATGTATGGGACTTGATTCTTTTGACCCTTCAAGTGTCACGAATTTCCGTTTGGTGCTTGCTTGACTTTCATCTTGGCCAAGGTACCCGACGCTCTGTCATTACAGCATAGAGTCCCCGGGCACACACGAACTTCCCTGCTAAGATTCGCCCCAAAAAAGTTAGGATTTTCAAAACCGGGCTAGCTTTGACTTTGCCCACGGATCCCCCCTTTTTGATTATCTCATCTCGTCATAAAGGACTAGATCACTTGCACTTTGCTGGGATTCGCGCCTTTTCCCCCCCCCCACCCCAAAAGCTACGTAAACACTGGCACATAATTTTACCGTAACAGTTTCTTGCCAACTGTATAGCTAACGTTTCTTTAAAGCCGATTTCTTTGGAGATGTGCATTATCGTCGCATATTCTAGTTAATGACCAGCTCCCTTTGTACTTGCATATTTGAAAGCTTAAGTGATTGTATCCCGATTTTGTATGAAAAGCTACACGCACACATCAAAGAAACATGGGATATCAGGAAGATCTTTAGTGTGTTTAGCTTGAAAAATGGTTCAGCAATTCAAATCAAGTGACGATCCAGTAATCACTCTCTACAGTACTCAAGCTGGTGAGCTATTGCTATGATGGGATTTATATACATGATGGGGGAGCTTTTGAGAGGTTGGCGTTCGTGTGTTGTCAAAGCAAACTTCGCCATGCCAGCTGTAATGGTACATTTATCCCAGCCATTAGGATAGATAATCTGCTCGCATAAGGAGTATAGAAGTTAGAGTACCAAGAGTAGACGATAGCATGCAGATACCTCGATAGGCGGGATCAGGAGCAATGAATGTCGCGATGTTGTAGGTAAAAGTACAGAGAATTGATCAAAATGCAGACGCGGCTGCTAGCTTCCTATAACTCGACGACAATGTATACAAGACAAGGTCATGTAATCCACATTTCTCATCGTTTTTAAACTATTTGATGTGATCGAGCCTCACCCTTCTTTTTCTCCTTCTTATAGATTTCAAGATACCGATTTGATCTGTACTTGTCGCTCCAATGTTCCAAGTAGTGGGGAGCCAAACTGATGTGCGGAAATGGAAAATGACGGGACGCCAACAACATGCAGCAGCATCAAGCTGGAATGACAGAGCAGGAAAAAAAATCCATATTCAAATTCCTGACTACATATCTGAATATCATACGCTGTTGCTTCCAAACTACTGGTTCAGTTTCACCAAAATAATAATAGATCAAGTGAAGAACACACAGACTGTGTGATGAGCGCGTGAAAACCATGGTTACGTTAGGTTTCTTGGGTAACATGTATAACAACCACCACCACCACCACCACTACAGTACTACTACTACTACTATTACTGTACCATCACTTCTAATTATGTTGTTTGTGTAGCTTACGCACCAATATATATTCAGTTCCTGGCACTTTTAGGTAATATAAGCCAATTCTTCCTTCAAGCCGCTTTTTTTTTTTTTAGAAAAAGATGAAAGCTGTGTCACCCTATTATTCCCACGATACCTCCAACATTGTTATTACAATGATAGCTCTCAAACCAGGACATTTTGGCGACTAACTCTATGTCCAAGAAGAGAAACTTTCTCGGCTCAACAGTATCATAGCGTGGGAAGTTTATTTTACATACCATAGAGGACTTACTCTTATTGCACCTTCATAATCAGTACGTGATCGAAGCAATCATCATAGCAGGGACTTGGGGTATTGTCACTGATGAGTCAGGAATTACATTATAGACAGTCTATAGTTATTGACCTTTGCTACATACTTGCGCAAATAGCGTGAGCATTGTTCCTAATAACATTTCGTACATACTTACCGAATCAACTTGTTTATGTGCGCTTTAAAATGAAACCCATTCCTCCATCTTTCAATACTTGAAATTACTTTAATCACTGACGTTGGTTAGCCTTGGTTTGAGTTTCTTTTTTTTGGCTAATGAGACATAAAAGTAGTAGGCCTCTCTCAACGTCTGTGACATTCTTGATAGTTGTAGCAATAGCACTTGTTTCCATTCTGAAAAGCTAATAGGTAACGTCGTCTTTTTTCTAAAAAAAAACCTCGTCGACTTAGAAATATGATAACAAGCGGCGATTTTCCATATAACTCACAGCTAAAGTATACAACACTGAAAAGGAGAAATATGCGTAGTTTGCATGGACTGTTCTCAATCAGAATTTGTGCCAAGGGTGGGCGGCTGTTGTTCGGCATTTCGAGGGAAGAAAAACTTGTTTTATGTATGCGTGGCGTCTTTTCTTCTCCTCTCTTCAAGCAGGGGCTGCGAATCATTTTTTCCCTGCTTTGTTTAGATTTCGCCAGCGGCGGGTGTTACATATCACTACAAGTACGATATTGATGCCCTACATACTACTGTGTCTATACAACTTCACCATAAACCGTGGTGAATATATTTAATTTTTGTAGTATTTGCTATCCTAGAAGGGCACAATGCTTTGTGAACCAGCTAGACAGATTTTTCTATGAAAATCCAATAGTATACATCATCCAGCCAATATTACCAATTTGCAGAAGAAATGTCGCAGAACTTTTTTTTTCGTCACTAACGAAAGGACGATGGTGATCTGCGCTTCAACCACTATCACAATCAAAGAAAAGGGTGGATGGCACGGGAGGAAGGGAGGACGAAGAATAAAGTTTACCGCTCTTCACATCTTTTTGTCTTGTCTTTTTACTACATCGTTCTTCTCGTCATTTACTCAAACAACTGAAGCCCATCCACTTATTCGTCCCTCAGATATGGAATAACTTGACAAGGACTGAAGCTCTGGAAATATACCGCCTATTTTTGTGAACAATCGAAAGCTCCATTGTTGATACTCTAGAGTATACAACTCATTGAAATCGTCACGTTCCTGCATCATGCCAAACCCCGGGCGGGTAAAGTTTATGTAGCTCTCCCTTGAAAGAAATCGTACGTACAGTAGAGCATTACTATGCATTGATGGTACGCATATTCTCGTTGACGATGTTGAGCTAATACTGCTCATATCACATAAATGTTCAGCAGTAGGTGGCGAGGAAAGAAAGCCGCCATCAATGGTAGGAGGAATAGAGATTCTACCGAGCCTGAAATAGTGAGGCATTACTCCTGTTTAGAATAATAAGATCAGCTACAACCCGCCTTGATCAATCTCCTTTTCCTTGTGACCCTTCAATCAAACTTGGACAAGAACTCTTCAGCACATTTGCTGCATCGAATAAAGCAGAGCTCCTGCTCAGCATATGTAAAGTTTGTACTCATTTGATAATACAATAACGAAGATGGTGAGTCAAATATCCTCGCAATAGCGCAAAGTTGTACCTTTAAAGATACTTTTGATAGCGCCAACTCACATCGTACAATTATAAAGTAGAGACTATGTAAGGGGTGTACGTGTGTGTGCTTGCATTTGGTTTTTTCTTTCTCCTTTCCTTGCTTCTCCTTCACGACGACGACGATGATGATGCAAGTACGACCAGAAAGCTAACCTATTACAAAACCGCTCCAAGATTTGCCGGGTTTGCAGTTATATAAAGGCCTGCCATTTTCAATGATCCTTTTTTTTTGTAAATTTACTTTTTACACTGACGCTTCCTTAATATCCAAACTTACACATACATACAATGCGTACCTCATTCACTACTTTGACCGTTGCTACCATTTTGGCCTTGTCAGCTATTGCTGACGCCGCACCAGGAGCATTGAAGATCATGGCCAGAGACGACAGTCTTCCAGGAGGATTAAGCGTCAAGTCTATAGGAGAAGGAGGCGGTGTAGTTGCAAGTGTTGAAAAAACACTTGGCGGTGGTCCGAAACAAGGTGCTGGTGCTACCGATGGTTCCCAGTCTGATGGACATAATCCAGAGACGCCAACACATGACGGAGATGCAAGCCCCGAATCCCCAGAAACTCCTGCCACTCCCCATCACAGTGACCCAAACACCACCTAAAATAATCTGATTCTGTTAAATGTATACGCACATAAAAGACAATTCTATTGCCAAATAAATTTGATCTGTAGTATTGTTTGTTACTTCTCGAAACAATTTCTCGTATATAAGAACAAGGGAAAAGGACTGGTCGTAGCTTACTTTCAGATACATTGTATTGTATCTTTAAGCGACAGTAGTTTTATTAGTACTTAGTAGAACGCTGTTTTGCGAGATTTTCTGTATCATAATAGCAAACTCTATAAATCATGCATATTCATATAATCATCAACATCATCAACATCTGTAATTCGAATGAGTCACAGTGCTTTCTTTACTTTGGTGGCCATCGGAATGGTAACAGACGTTCACTGTATGAAATTGTAATGTGATTATATGAAAAATCTTGGCGGGTTAAAAAGGGAGGTGGTGTGTGGTCCAAAAACTTAACATTATGCAGCCACAACAGCTGGAGCTCTTTATCAATTTTTAAATGAACATCTTCAGATGCATATGTCTTCAATTAATCCGGAAGTATGTAGCATTGCGTAATAGTGATGCTAATAGTCCTGAAAGATGGTACCTCTAGCTAGTTTTCATCGTTGATGATTTAGAATAACGTCAATCCAGATTAGGGGGAGCGGATCCGCCGCGTCGCGTATAGGTTTTTTTTTTCGTGTCTACAAAAATTGTTAGACAAAAAGAACCCAAGGTCCGACAACCTTTTCTTTTCTTTTACCCTAACCCTCCTTTTCCCCCAATGTCTGAAAGACGATACACCGAATTCGAAGCCATTCATTGCGGCGTTCAAGCCGACAAGGGTCGATTCCGTATAGCACCCAACGGTATTGGCTGGAAAGCGACAAGTGGTAAAACCACCGTCGTCAGTGCTGAAGATCTCAAGAAATTGTCGTGGAGTCGTGCTGCGAGAGGATATCAAATGCGCGTTTTACTCAAGGATAACAGCATTCACAAATTCGACGGGTTCAAATCAGACGTACGTGATCCAATTCGCTTGCTATAGAGGCGAATAAAAAAAGCAGGAAAGAAAAAAGCATAGGAATTATAATTTATTTTGCATAATCGAATCAATAGGATTTTGAAGAAGCCAAGGATGCGGTCAAAAAGTATTACAAGTTACAATTAGATGCAAAAGAATTGAGCGTCAGAGGCTGGAATTGGGGAAAAACGGATTTCCAAGGTAAAGCCAGAATGAAAGATGTTGTAAAGTGTGGGGAAAAATACAACAACTTACTGATTGCTTTGGGGGATCGATCTGTCATTAAGGATCCAACTTGATCTTTAATGTGAGCAACAGGCCCATGTTTGAATTACCACTTGGACAAGCCATTGGCACGAACAAACCAGGCAAAAATGAAGTGGCTATCAACTTTGTTGATCCCGGACAGCCTGCACCAGATGGTGTAAATCCTAAAGAAGTCGACGAGCTGATGGATGTCACTTTCTATGTACCTGGCACGGTTGCTAAAGAATCAGAGAACAAGGAGGATGACGAGGAGGATGAGGAAGTGAATGCAGATATGGTATGTTTGGAGGAAAAGGGTTGTATGATTATCAAATTGTTAACGTCCACATCTCGGTTCTGTTTTTTTTTAATTACTCGCGGGTGGATAAAAGGTATTCTACGAAACTGTTAAATCCAAGCTAGAATTCAGCCAGATGACCACCGAAAACATTGTCCAGTTCCAGGAAGTGCTTTGCTTGACACCACGGTACGCTATCTTTTTTTCGGTCTATAAACAGTTTTTCATGTGGGATTCAACGCGTAACCTTGTTTGTTCTCAATTCGATTAGTGGTCGTTACAACATCGACATGTACCAAGACTTTTTGCGTCTGCGTGGCAAGACCTACGATTACAAGATTCTTTACTCCAATATCATCAAGCTTTTTTTGTTGTTGAAACCTGATGAAATGCACGTCATGTTTGTGGTGAGTGTCTTACTTTTTCTCTCCTTCCTATATTACAAAGTGTAGTGTTTGGAAGAAAGTCAAACGTCAAGAGAACGTCTAGTGTTATACTCACACAAGATAATTAAACTACCAGATTGGATTGGATCCTCCACTGCGTCAAGGTCAAACGAAATACCCGTTCTTGGTATTCCAATTTGTGCGTGAGGATGAAATCGATGTCGAATTAAATCTTGACGAGTAAGTTATATGTATATCCAGTGGTCTCTTTCTTGCGGATATAGAGTTACTAAACTACTGGGTTACGTAGTGCTACTTTGGCAGATAAATACGAAAACAAGCTCCACAAGCATTATGATGCACCTACCTATGAAGTTGTCAGCACCATCTTCCGCTCACTCACAAACCGCAAGGTGACGGTACCAGGCAGCTACAGAAGGTAATTCATATTCCATAGTGTGTACTTGATCATACATGTTGGACATACAGGACTCATAAACTTTTCTCGCGTCATTTTTGCGCCATGACACATATTATTAGTCACCACGGTGCCCATGCTCTGAAATGTTCCATGAAGGCCAACGAAGGCTACCTCTACCCACTCGAAAAAAGCTTCTTATTTATTCCCAAACCACCCACATTCATTCCCCACAACGAAATCGGTGTTGTCACGTTTTCACGTGTGGGCACCACTTCTGGCGGCAGCTCACGAACGTTCGATATGAAGTTCCACATGAAGGGCGGCAACGACATTCAGTTCTCTAGCATCAACCGGGAAGAATATGCCAACATGGAGGACTTCCTGAGACAAAAGCGGATCAAGGTCAAGAGTGTACAGAACGAGGAATCCATCATTAGATACACTGAGCTTGACGAAGATGATGTGGAAGAAGAGGACGAGGAAGATGGCAACTTTGGTGCAAGCGGCCGAAAGAAGCGACGAACAGAGCCTGCTGTTGGCGCAATGATGGATGAAGGCGATTCAGAGAGTCGTAAGTTTTTGATGATTTTTTGCTGTATTCGAGGATGATTATTGTTTTTTTGCTGATATCTGATGCTTCTTCTTTTTTTTTATAGCTGACGAAGACTTTGCACCTGATGACAGTGGTAGTGAAGTGGCTGAAGAATACGATTCCGAAGTAGAGGGTTCTTATGATGAATCCGAAAATGATTAAAAATAGTCTGTACATACAAAATAAAACTATTCTTTTCCACACAGTACAATACATGCAAGAGAAAGGAAAGATGCTTTCGTTGTTCTATAATATATGCTGCTTTTTTGTGGAAATTTAAAGATCTGCAAGTAGTGTATAGTAAGTAGCCCGAGTGCTTTTTGTTGCTTGCTTAGAATTCTCTTGAATACCATCCGATGCTTTTGTTCTTTTAATTTATCGTAGAGTGCTTTGCTGCTGGTGCTTTCTGAGCGGAAGGGCTATATCTAAGATGTCGGTCGTCACCAGGTTCTTCATGTAGGAGCCGGGGTCGATCAATATCACTCCTTGCTTGTTGATGATTCAAGCCGGAATGTATTGTCTATGTCCTCCATGTGTAGATATTCTTCCATCTCCATTAGGTTCAAGTACCCTTTCAAGAAAATACATTTCCTCACGCTTGAGCATAAGACACAGTTAACGCAGTGAAGGGTTGTGTCGTTGACGACTGAATATGATTTCATAAACACAAATGAGTGTATGTTGCAACCACAACAACTATCAAATTTGTTCAAGAAAAACTATCTTTTCTTCCATGAGAGAATAATGAAATTTCTTTCCAGCAAAGTGCCCTTTGCGTACATGATTTGTTGATACAAGTCTGTCCTTGTTCATATTTTACCAACTCTTTGCTTTATCCTCTCACAGAATATATTATCATCACAGCCTCAGCCGCAGCAACCATCCCCCCTTCTTGTTCTGGCTGCACACTCCGGTCCAATAATTTTTATAGTACGAATATACAAGCTTTTCGTTGAGAAGGAAAAAAAATAACAAAGAGTAAAACTCGCAAGATTGGGGCCGTTCATCGCAAAGTCGTCAGCACAACTCAAAGCCGTTTGACACAACCCTCTTCTCTTTATTGGTCGTAAGCGAAAGGCTGCTTTCAAGATCTTTAAACAAACAGCTGTAGCTTACGATTGACTGAACTCTATATATATATTATTTTTTCAAGTACTCTTTTTTCTTCTCCTCGTTTCCCTTCCACGCCCCGCCCCTCCATCTCACTCATCTTGAAAAGAAAAAAAAATACCTTTTTTTTTCTCACACAAACCAAAACAACTACACATATACGCACTTTTTTTTTACTTTTTTTTATTTTTTCAACTCTACTGATTTCTGTAAGAACGCCATGACAAACCAGATGGTGTCTCGTTTCAGAGGGAAAAAACTCTCCGTCAAACAGGCTATGCCTATCTTCAAGGAGTCGCAGCTGCCTGACCTGGGCGAGGCACAGCGGTCCATAGGCGATATAGAGACTGGCGTTGAGAAGGATGAAGAAGTGGAGGTATTCTTACGTTCTCTATTCTGATTGGTGCTTGGCACTCACACTCACGTTCTCTCTTTTCTCTCTCTGTGTGTGTGTGTGTGGGTGGGTGCATCGTGTGATTTGTTGCTTGGTTGCTGCGGAATTTTTTTCTCTTTTTTGGAGAGGGGGTGGTGATGATGGGAAGGGGTATGCAAAAAAAGGGACCGGGGAGGGGGGGGGAAAGAAGCCGCAATTACTCAATGTATCTGTTGTGATTATTGTTGATATCGTAGCATGATTTGCAAGCGGCTATTTCTGCGGCTCAAGCAGCTGTGACAACCGGCGAAAAGCTGCAACGCTATATTCCTACACCAGATGCTTCACGCCATATCCCCCAGGAGGAGTACGATGTCGTTTACAAAAAGCCCTTCAAACAGCCCTCCAACTTGATCAAGTTCTCCATGACCGTTGAGGATATGATAAGCTGTCAGTACCTTATGGACGAGGTCGACTGTGACTTTGTAAACAAATACAACAAGGATCGTCTTGAATCCTCTTCACTGATAATAACTGAGGACGAGTTTGAAGATATCATGAGCCAGATCGAATCGACCGTCAACTCTCAGTTGCCTCATCTTAGTCTGGTAAGAGAGATTCATATGCTTCTCTCTTGCTTCATAAGGGAGAGAAAGAGAGAGAGAGAGAGGGCGATACAGAAATGATGTGGTTCGACACAATAATATAATGATATATGCATGTTTTGGGGGCTAACACAAATGCACCTCCTTACCTTTTTGTTAATTCACTAGGACCCAGCACAAACGCCCCAGCCCATGGATTTGCTAGACATGCTTCCAAACAGTTTCCGTTCGAGCCGCTTTGAATTGGGACCCATCCTTGAGCATTGGCGCGCTCGGCGATTGAAGCGTGAGGGAAAATCAATTATACCCATTGTACAATATGAAGATATCCCTAAAAATGAGATCGACCCTTACGTTTGCTTTCGTCGTCGCGAAATTAAGCCGGTGCGCAAAACTAGACGAACAGACCAACAGTCTTTTGAGCGACTGCGAAAGCTACGCATGGAAATGGAAAAGGCTCGTGGTCTGCTGGAAATGGTGCTGCGCCGCGAAAAGATTCGCAGAGAGAGTCTTTTTCAAGAGCATGCTGTGTTTGAGAAACGTTGCGAAATCCGAGAGTACCAGCGCTTGCTTGGCATCAAGGATGAAGAAGCCCTTATGCCTGCAACAAAGAAGAAACGAAAGACCGCAATGGATACAGGATCATCGTAAGTTATTCCTTGAAACAGTAAGAGAGTCTGCGTTTTGTCCTCTTTTTACAGATACTTACCCAAGTGATTGTTACCGATAGAACAACGATCAAAATACCCCTCAGCCGCCTTCGACGAGATGCTGCAGATAATACCGATCGCCATGATAAAACGCCGGCACAACTTGCTATGGAGGCCGAACTTGCCAAAAAAAGGGAAGCAGATGCACCCTACGAAGATGTCACAGAAGTAAGTTATCAGTGCAATCATGTTGGTGTACATACGATGCATGTGGAAAAGAAGGGTGTAGTGTACTAACAGTTTGCTGTGTAAACAATCGGCTTCTAGTGTCCATACCAGCCCTTCCCTCTCGAGTTGCCGATGCAGTTCTTCCAAACATTCTCCAGTCCAAACACTGTTAACGACGTTGCCGCTGCTACTGCTGCCCCTCGGTTTCGAAAACGCATTGGTCGTGGTGGCCGAGTTTTTATCGATCGTGTTGGCTACCGTGGACCCTCGCAAAGTCGAGATCCGTTCCAGTTTGACCCCGACTACGAAGAGATGGAAGAAGTGGAAACGCTGGATGAAATGGATGATAGGTAAGTTTGTGGAAGAAAAGGAAAGAGAGAGTGGAAAAATGCAATCGCTCCCCCCCCCACCCAGCCCAAGCAAAAGGAAAAAAAGCTCTGCTTATTAAATTTTCCAATGGATATAGGTTTTTGCGCCACCGTGTCCAACTGCTCTCAGTGGATCAGCTCCGAAATTTCGTAGACTTACCCAGTCTATTGCAAGGAACAAGAAACACCCAGCGCCAGGGCCCTCCTACAACCACCAGTAATACCAACGGCTCTGTTGCTGCTGCTGCTGCTGCTGCAAACGTTGCTTCACAACCCAAAAATGTCGAAGCAGGTGTTTCCTTTGGTCCCACCACGGGTGCGGGTGTCGGGGCGGCTCCAGTGAAAAGACAGAATAGTCGACAACGCTTGACTCCTCAACAGGCTTCGGTAGCAATGGCCAATGGAATGATTGCAGCCAACTTGTCTGCACACGTCAATGGCACAATGTCAAACAGGGCGCCTTTACGTCAACAACCACAACAGCAGCGGGCGCTTCCGATTTCGTCGAATGGTATATGTTCAACCGTTAGAAGTAGTGACCGTAAATTTAGAAGAAAGGGAGAGGCGAGAAAAAAAATATTAAGTGGGAGAGGGGAGAGAGAGAAAGAGATTGAAATAGGAGTTAGTAGAACGCTGAATTTTTCATTTACTGATGATTTCGCATATACACCGTTTCCAGGTTCGCCATTACAACAGCCGACACCACCACCACAGAAACCTACTTCATCTCCTTCACCACAGTTATCTCCACAACGGCCTGACTTGCAACAGCAGCAGCAGCAGCAAGCGCAACCACAACGATATACAGCCACCGCTCACGTTTCCTAACAAGATGCTCTCCACAAGAGGCGTCTCGATGTAAATATTCAGTAGTATTATTTAGTGGACACATCGTCAACAAACACTGCTTTTTACTTTCATCATTTGTGTATACAACAAACCAATCAGAAATATAAAAGCACGCACATACTATACATACCCCCCCCCACCTCCCTCCCCTTTCTTCCTTCACACAGCACATCAACCATTCTTATGACTATCCCTCAAGCATCCCATATATAAACATTGCAACCACAAGTAATAAAAGCACCACGAAAAAACATTCAAATAATATAAGATATAAACATTGAAGAAAAGACTGTCTCTATTATCAATGACGATTTCATGTCATGAACTTCATGTTGTTTACATCGGGAGCAACAAAAACATCCGATTTTTCGTCGATTGAACCAGCAATCGAAAAAACGAGTCCCATACTCTTTTTGTTAGGATTCTTCACTTGCAACTTTGCAGTCTGGCCATCTTGCTTGACTTTGCCGGTCGTGACACTATCCACGGTGATACCAGCAGGCATTTTCATTTCGACCACCACAGTGTTTCCAAATGCCTTGGTATCCAATCGACGGGCATTCACCACCGCTTCGTATCTCTTGTCTGCGACTTTAACCACTGTCAATTGAGAGGTCACGCGTGTTGATTTGTACGGTCGTGGGGCACTTTTGGTATGCAGCACCGAACGTTTCTTCTTGTCACAGGTATCAGCGCTGCTGCTGCTGCTGCTGCTGCTAGTAAGGTCGCCATCTTGAGTCTGTGCGCAGTAGATCGAACTTCCCTCTGTCGTGCTCATACAGGTCAGGCCAACGGCACATTGCGTTACAACCCATTTGTCGTGATTACACACAGCAAACCCGTTACTGGCACAGACTTGTTTGCCGTGCTCAGAGCAGCTATCACCGTCTTGAATGCAGGATGTATCACTATCACTATCCTCGTCGTCGTCATCGTTGTCATTACCAGACGAAGGCGTCGCTGTTGCAGAGTGATCGCTTTTAGTTGAAGTAGCAGTACTGGTTTCCTTGGCAGTAGTAGTAGTTGTAGCAGTAGCAGTGATGCTGGTGGTATTGCTGTCTTCATTCGTGTCGTCCTCGTCCTCGTCCTCGTCGTCCTCGTCGGATGATGATGATCCATCACCGCTACTAGATTCGCCAGTACGCACCAATTTTGAAATAGCTGTTGCAAAATTTGGCTCGGTATCTTTATTGCCATGTGATTGTGAAGCATCTAACACATGATGAAAATGAGTCAATGAGTTATGATCTCTCCTCAAAAATAAAAACATGACAAAGGTCAAGTTACGACTAATACATGCATCCTGTTCTCAATGCTGCCTGAAATAGAATTATAGACTTACCCCAAATGGTTATACCACCAAAGCTTTCAAATGACGTCACCTTGTCAAATACCGGCTCCAAGTCTTCATAGGTAATATAGCCCGTGCCTGCAGCAGAAGTTGATCCCGGAATGCCGAGGTAGATCTTTACATCCTTGTTGGGTGACTTGTTCTTTGCCCAATCGTCCCAAGTTTCAAAATTAAAGTTAGAGCCTCCTGTCGAACAATAATTGTTGTAAAATTGGACATTGACAGCATCGATACCGACGTCGTCAATAACTTCACCCAACATAGCATCCGGAAATGGACACTATATATATAAATGTACAATTTGTATATAAAAGCAATGAGTGGGATGCTGTTCTCTTGCTTTCTCGTTCAAAGCATGCTTTGATCTAAACAACTGGATCAAGAACTCTTTTATCTTTTGCATACCTGGGGTGCAGCCGTAACATAATAGTCTTTAGACGAATCTTCCTCGAACAAATTGCGAAGCTCTTTGACAAATGCCTAGAAAGTCAAGCAATATGTTAATATGAGTATTTCAATCGTATGACATAGGCAGCAATGACAGCAAACAAAGTAGTTTTTATGAGGGCTTTTATACGTACCGCATAACCGGTTGGTCCTCCGCCTTCGATATCCAGATCAAAGCCATCAATAACTGCTTCACCAAATGGCCGAGTGTCACTTTCACCGCCACCGAAAAGATCCCACATGGTCTTTGCAAAGGTTGTACCCTCCTTGTCGCTAGTAAATCCGTATGCACCACTTGCACCACCAAGCGACAGCAATACTTTTTTACCTTTCTTTTGACAAGTTTTGATGTCTAGTTAGAAATAATATAGTAATAGTTAGCTGAAAGCTCTTGAATTATCATTATAAAAGCCCAACATATCTCCATGTGATGTTTGTATTTGTAGAAAAAAAACTACTACTGCTACTACTATTACTAACCTTTTCCAATATGATCACATTGAAGCAGAGATGTTCCCTCAAATACACTGCCTTCACAGGCATTGGCAACGTTTAAAGTTGGAAGACCACCCACGTTGAAATTGGTAATAAATCCAATTACGAGAACGTCCGAAGTATCATCGCAATAAGTTGCAAGGTCTTTTTGTGAGCTACCCGTACCAGCCGAGTTCTATATACGTAATATAAATATACACATTAATGGAGAAAGTTATCAGATAATATTACTTTGGTTCTTTTGAGCAAGTCCATCAAATGATAGAGAGACTATGGTATAGTAGTAGCTGCGATCATAGTTCATACCTGGCCCCAATATGTGATGACATTGTATCCATCCGGGAATCCCGCCGCCGACACGGGTTGTGTTGTTGTACCAATAAGTGATAGTAGTAATACAGATGTTGCTGTTGCGATTCGAGTAAGCTGGGTCCGGCCAAACATTTTTCTTTCGATTGTTTTTGTTGGTTCACTTGAAAGGAAAGGAATGGGATTGTTAGGAAGATGTTCTTTACAGTAATCAACAGTGCCCAACAAGATACGTTTTTCGAATATTTGTACACAAAAAAAAAAGTACAGATTGACTGGCAGTTTCTGCACACCATATTTATATACCTTTTTTTTTTTGCTCGCCACCTTTCTCTAATAACCCCTCGTTCATTGTAATGTCCGGTCCCTGAAGAAGGAAACAGCCTATTAAAAGTGCTTTTTCCTTCGTATCCCCCGAACCTTTCCAATAGCGTTAATTTCCAGTCAATAAAAAAGGCGGTGTTTTCGCCTTACTCGTATAAAGTTTATATTTATTGGAAGGCTAATGACGATACGCTTATAGCATTCTTGTCGCTTCCTTGCAGTGCGGTGATTTTCGCCTTACATACTACTTAATATATTGTTTATCGATGATAGTGGTGAAACATAATAATGTTTAGAATTTCTCTTTATTAATTGAGTTACCCGACTTTCTTTGTTCCTGACGAATCTGGAAACCGTTATTACATATGTTGTATAGCATCAAAATTTGGGCGCATTTCTTATGGTGGTACAGTTATGCAGATGAGCATACGTATACAGTATGCATATAGTTGAGTTGCTAAATGTTTATACATAGCGAGGGGAGGGGTTAAGAAAACAATGTACAGTGTCCAATGGATACATTCTTCCTCCTTATAAACAGCAGCTTTGTACATTTTTTTTTATTTTATGTAATCGTTTTGCAGAACTCGGCAGATAGCGTACTTATCCTAACTTTATTGTATAATGAAGAAGCATATCATAAATTCGGTATCAAGCAGCTCCGCACCCCCTTCCTATAAGTTGGCAGAATAGTTTGAAACACAGAAAAAATAAAATTAGAAAGTACATTGAAATGTAGATCGCTGAGCGTTGCTTGTGCCACCTACTACTATCACTTTGCATATCATTTAGATTCGGGTTATTGTAGTAATTGCCGTGCATAAACTGTCTTTTCAAAAAGAATAACGGTGACTTAATTGGATTATTCTGTGTTTGTGTGTACATACGGAAAAAAAGGGGGTCATCCTTGACCGGATGCATATTTGTCAGGAAAGAAGAGGCGACAGAACCCACTACTCCTGATTATAGGTTGCTGTTGCCATTTAACGTTGAGGCCACGCGACATTCGGTGATGATATCAGTCATGCATGACGATCATTAAATAAAAACAGCGTTTCTTTTTGCGTGCATTGTCCTGAACTTCATTATTACATAGTAGTTATCAATACCATGTATATATATCACCAGAATTAGGACATATAATATTAATGTATTCTCTAACATAGTTCTACAAGCTGACGATACAGCCGCCAATTCATAACAGAGTATTACCCGCCTATTTTATTTTAGCGCATTGCGCAAGACATCACGTAATAACACTCTTCGGCTGTACAGTTTTACTGTTACTTTATAAATTAAAGGTCGTCTCATTACATACATATTAACGTCATATGATATGAGACAGTGGTAGATTTCTGACAAGGTAAATGAAACGGATGATCGTGATCGTCTGTGAGACTTTTAATTACAACATACATCGACAAGAAACAAGTAACTTGACTACCTGCATCGACAACGTAATATCAGATGCGCAAATTTACGGGTAATGATGGAATATACGGAAAACATTTTAAAAACGTTCAGAGATCATCCATTTGTGATTATATGTTCTGAACTGCTTCAGAAATAAAAGTATGGTGAATAATTTCTACTTATTAATGATGTACTGTAATATGGGAATCCGATGAGCGGATAGTAGGCGCAATCTCCTATGCTTTCTATATGGATGATCGATAAGGCAATCCCCCACCCAACATCTTAGAAGCTTAAACTGCGTGAGCATACGACGATCCACACTACTGCAAATAGTACAATTAGACTCTACATAGCAACGGATTTGCGATTCATTTTGAGCTTGATACACCCGACATCATAACAACTGCTAGAATTTAGATGTCCACGCCGGTAAATATTTTGTATGTACGGCAAGATTGGAACCGATATGATTCCGCTAACGCCAAGGGTATTGTTAAAGATTTGGAGAGCCAAAATTCCTCTACATAGCGTTTTCCAGAATTTTTCATTAGACATGCTCTCTCAAGTGCACAAGTCAAGACACGTATATACAAAGATTTAAACGCCTAAACGCGATATGTACTAATACATAAAGTACGTCCATCTCATAGTCGGTGAATTCTCGATCCTCACCACAAACGAAGCCATCACTGTATAACAATGTTCAGTCACTTGTCGCTGCTTATTATCAATTACAGAAGAAATAACAGTATCATAAAACCAATAAAAAGTGTGTCATCAAGAGCTTTTTCCGGTTACATTAAGTAGTACGGTGTATGGACAAACCTTTGTGAATGATCAAAATGAGCGTGATTTCGAAACTGAAGTGTACGTTATCATTCTCGCGAGTGTTTCACCTATCGTGTGCTGTTGATGCGAGAGCTGGAGAAGCATAATGAGTGGAGGATGGAGGCACCGTGTTAAATGTGTCGATGTCTATGTCTTCTTTTGGATGGTGATGTATTCTAGTAATAAGGTATCAGAAAAGCAACACGTCATGTTGTTGTTAGGTATGCATCTTTTTAGACAGCGTAACCGATACGATATATTCTATAATGCCATCCGCCCGTTAAATCGGTTGCCTGCGTGATGGCCAATAAAAAAGAGTTCAACAACATCAATGTAGTTGCTGCTGTATTATTGAATAAATACTTCAGTGCTACCTTCAACTTATACTATGATACGCGAAGGTGAGATTACAAATAAAATTGGAGTCCTTGTAGTCATGCACTCAGCCTCTCTTCGCCTTTTAACGATAAATCGGTAACCCCTTTTGAAATCATGAGTGTACTGGTGGCAGTGTCGTCCTTTGCAACACCGCGTTTCTATGTACCTGGAAGGGGCTTCTACGGTTGCGAAAGGGCCCAGTTTCCTGTCCTGTTGATGACCTTCTCCAGATTTGCAAGCAATCCTCAAAATAGAAATTACGTGCTTGGTTTCTTGGCATTATAAACTTGTATACAGTCTCTTTGTTTGCATATGCGCTTGAATGTTTGTCGCGCAGCAAACAAGTCCGCAGCACTTGACTCAAGTCGTTCCTGATTTAAAACCAATCTCTCTCCTCCTTCTTATCTCTCTTAATTTCACACGCCATGGTGACAGCTCTTGATCTCTCTGAATTTTGTGTTCAATTGCCAAAGATTGAACTTCATGCTCATATCAATGGCAGCATTAGTCCAAAGACAATGCATCGATTGAGAGAGATCAAGAAGCACAAGTATCCTGAACTGGCAGATTTTACCATTCCTGAACGACTGGATCGTATTTCCGAGTAAAGTCCTTCTCTTTTCTTTTTCTTTGTGTTTATTGTCATGGAATGGTGCCATGAAGAGCCTTACAGGATAAATTTGTACAAAACTCATTCTCTGTTTATGTTGTCGGCGAAACTTAAATAAATCTTAACAGCTTTTTTCCGTTGTTCAAGTTTATTTACAAATTGACAGACGACGAAGAAGCAGTGGGCATCGCCACGCGTAATGTAATTGATGAGTTTGCTCAAGATGGCGTTCGCTACTTGGAACTGCGTACAACGCCTCGTCGTAACCCGGATACCGGTATATATTCATGCGTATATATTGGTTTTTTTTTTCGGTTGCAAAGATTGTTGATTAATTGGTTATTGATTGGTGCAAAAAACAAGGCATGACAAAGGAATCGTACCTGAAGGCTGTCTTGTCAGCTGTCAACGAACCGCGGGACAACATCATTGTACGACTGATTGTATCTATCGATCGCCGGAATACACTCGAAGAAGCATATGAGGCCGTGGATTTAGCCATGGAATTCCGATCACAAAATGTCGTGGGTATCGACTTGTGTGGTGACGTCCATCAAGGTTCCTTTGAGCAGCTGCGACCTGCGTTCGATAAGGCCAGGACAGAGGGATTCCATGTTACCTTGCACTTTAACGAGGTCAAGTGTCGACGTTGTCTTGCTTGAGCATGTCAAGGTGTATGTTGTATTATTTACGCTTACCCGGGCGATTGCATCTATAAATAATGTAGGTCAAGGAAAATATGGTAGAAGCACCTAATTTATTGTCGTTTGGTCCGGATCGTCTGGGCCACGCTACACTCTTGGACGATTATGCACGTCAAACCATCTATGCGAACAGTATACCTATAGAAATTTGCATGACGTCCAATGTTGTGAGCAAGACCGTGGAGACATTCGCTGACCACCACGTCAAGGATTTGCTCAAGGAGGGTCATCCCTTTGTCCTTTGTGTAAGTTTCTAGTTTCTAGTTTCGTCATGTGCTTTCTTACATGTGTGTATTAAATATGCAGAGGTTGGCTATATTGTGCTATGTAGACGGATGACAAGGGTGTGTTCTTCTCTGACCTTTCCAACGAATATGCTGTTTGTTCCACAACATTCAACATGACGCGGGATCAGCTTTTCGAGGCGTCGTTGCGTTCCATCGATGCCATTTTTGCTGGTCCAGAGCTACAGTCTCAGTTGAAACAGCAATGGTGTGAGTGGCGCGAAGCGAATGCCACCGCTTTTGCATAGGGTTTCTTTGGATAACACAATAAACTATCTTTTGATGCTTGTTTTTGTATAGTCAGGGTAGCATAAATTGTGAAGGTCAGATGGTGCGAAATGGGGCGGAGTAATAAGATGAATTTGGGTGTCTGTGATCAACCTACAATAAGTTCTCCCATTGCCCATCCAAAAACCCCAAACCGTTCTTTCTTATATTTCTTTTCCCATATAAATGGCAGAGCTCGTACTTGGGCCCCACAACGGGCTTACGATCAACGGAACACGTCCCCGACGGCCTAAAACTCGTAAAAAAGATATCAACAAACCGAAACGCTCGACCGACCTCAATGACAGGACCAATGACAATACCGATTCGGAACTCACGTCAACAGCAAGCAGTGTAACCCCCGCAATGGCGACTGCGACGTTGACGACGACAACATTGCAGCCTACCCACATTATGGATCTGGACCAAAGCAGCAGTCAACAATGGAGGGTCGAAGCCTTACCCGACAACAATTACCGCATCACAATCCACAGTGTTTCTGATGTCACTGACTTTCTACGAGCTCTGAGTTTGTCGACGTTTAGAAGCAATACCACCTTATTGTCCACGGCAAGAGAACGCAACACTCGAGTCGTTGTCCCACTTCCTTATATTAATTATCATAGTGAACTCTACGCCAAAACGATCGCCCGGCCCATGACGGGGTGCAGCGTTTCCGACCTGCCGACGATCGTCAGCGACTGTGTGTTCTATTTCATGGAATGCATGAACCACTATTACCCCATCCGACCCAAATCCTTGCTCATCCCTTGGTATATGGCACTTGGCCCCGATGATCTTTGCTCAAATCCACTTGCCCTGGCCATTGGAGTCTACTGGTGCAGACACGTGCTCATTCATCACCCACCGACCAGGACCGTCAAAGACAGTCGTATCCTGGATGCGATCCAACACCAATTATCCAAAATGGCGCGCGACGTGCTAGGTGATTGCTTTGACGAACCGCACGTTGACCATCTCTTTGCGCTTTGCTTGTGCAACATGACCGCCGCATTTTCAATCAAGCAAAAAACCATTTTCCACACCATTGCAGTTGGTATGGCGACCGAGTTAGGCATCGAACCTCGACAACCAGGGACGCATCCTCACGAAGACGACGATCAAACTGAGCTGAAAAACCGGCTGTGGTGGTACCTGTTTCAAATCGACCATTTTTTGCACGAATCAGGCGCTATACCGAGCTCGTTATTGCGTCCTAACTCAGACGACCATGATGCGCTAGGTCGTTTGGTGAGACCGATGCCCTGCTCGCTCGATGACCCCTCTGAAGCTACAGGTGCAAGTGAATGGGGTCATGTTTTGGAGCTGTGGATTACACGGCGTAAGCTTGTCAAGGAGATCCAGCTTTCGTTGCAGGACGACGAGGCCATGATGGATAAAGTCAACGCAAAGATACAAGAATGGAGCGTTCGCGTACCTCCAATGCCTCCCACGATGCTTGAAGCCCATATGACCATCAACATGGAGAAATGCACCAACCATGGCCTCTTGTTACATCATTTTTGCCCACCAGTGCCGGACCAGCAGCGGCGTCGTAATAGCAGTGACAGTAACACTAGCCGCCCGTTAACAAGCTTGCAGCGACGCGCGATTTTGCACATGGTCGAGTGCTTCACTTACATGATTTGCTTTAGACGCATGGTGATGGAATTCAAGCCATGTCAAACGTTTCCTGGAGACTTGAAGCGCTCAATTGAAGTGTTGGTGCTATGTTTCAAATACAAGGATATGTGGATTCGTGACCGCGCAAAGTTCGGATTGCTCCAAGCGCGTGATGTACTCGCAAATATGGCCGAGATACACTGGCATGATCCTATATGCGATGACATGGTCAGAGATGTTGAGTCAGTTCTGTCTGAACAGTCTTGTCTGAAAGAAGAAAACGACATTGATTATTATGTTGATGATGATGATGATGATCACAAAGGAAAGCAAATGCTTGGAAGAAGTCGTCGTCGTCGTCGTCGTCGCCAGAGCGATGATATTTGCAGCATGAAGTCCGAAAAGGATGACGATGATGATTTGCGGGCACGAAGCATCAAGATGGAGAACAATATGTATTCAGGCGTCATGATGTTTGATCGGGATCTGCAGCCACGAGCACGCTATTACAAGCCAGCAAGAACATCAGAACCATTGGATGGCCTAACGATCTTTGAAAATGTCACTCAGTATGCTCTTTCCTCCTCCTCCTGCTCCTCGTCATCATTATCACCTTCATCGTCTCCAACAAACAAAAACCATCCTTCCTCTTGAAGCTTCCTCCTCCTTTCCTATCACGCACTCACTTTCACAAACTCTTTCTCCTAACCTTGGATCATCATGTACATAGCATCCTTACATTTATATATGATATACCCAGTCAGATCTCCTGACGTCTCTTGTGCACTATGTTTGTTGTAATTTCTAAGCCGCGTTCTCTACCATCGCCACATACACACATTTCCCTACTGTAAGTCTTTTTATTATACGCGGTGTATACACGGGTTATAAAAGTAAAAGTCCCGCGGGAGGAGACTAGTGTCAAAATCCGGAGACGGAGGGGTGGGGGAAAAAGGCGCCTTTAAAAGGCAATCAGTTCTAACTTCCTTTTATGTATGCACCTTCCCCGTTTGAATTAAACTTCAGCTATTAATCCGTCGACGCATATAAGCTGCGTTTGATTATATTTTCCGTTGTCGTTTCCACACTTCTTTCTTTTTTCCTATACCTTTTTAAATCTCAAGCTACTACTACTACTACTATTACTATTACCATTTCAAGTTAACATGGTGAGCGTTGATTCTATGAAGGTTGCTATTTGGGAGTCCAAGGGCAAGATCGATATGGTTGACAGAAAGGTACCTGCGATGGCTCCTGGTGAAGTGCTGATCCGAGTGACATCCTCTGGCTTATGTGGTAAGGAGAAGCGGTTTGAAAAAAGAGTTACTGGAAGGAATGGAGAGAGAAAGCGTGTGTGCTTATGCCAGTACTGTTTGTGTTGTCTTACAATGAAAAACAGGAACGGATCTCCATATTTGCCATGGTGAGACCCCACACGCCACACCTCAAGTGACCATCGGCCACGAATTTGCTGGATATGTTGAATCAATCCACCCGGAAACCAAGACCTCTCTGACCGTCGGCCATCTTGTTGCCATCGATCCCAACTGTCCATGCCACGCATGCACTTTTTGCCGCAACAAGAAATACCACCTGTGCCCATTCCTTTCGTGCATCGGCGTCAGCGTGAACGGTGGTATGGCCAAGTACGTTGCCGTCCCTGCTGCTGCTGCCTTTGCCGTTCCTTCCACAGTCAGCCCCGAGCTTGCCAGTTTGGCCGAACCTCTCTCGTGTGTCGTGCATGCCGTGGACACGGGCTCGATCAAGAGCGGCGACCGGGTATTGATTATGGGCGCGGGTCCCATCGGATTGATGGCCTTGGGTCTGTGCTCCACCGGCGGTGCTTCTGTCACTGTAGTCGAACCAAGCGACATGCGACGCCAAAAGGCGCTTGAGTTCGGTGCTGCCAAAGCGATCAAGCCCGAAGATCTCAAGGTTGGCGATCCATGCATGGGTCATGGCTATGATGTTGTGTTCGAATGTGTTGGACGCCCGGAAACGATGGAATCAGCAGTGAACTGTGCTAAAGCGGGAGGCACCGTTGTGTGGGTTGGCGTTGCGAAACCGGGTGTCACGGTGCCAGTATCGCCTTTTGATGTTTATCGCCGTGAGCTGACCATCAAGTCAACGTACACAAATCCTTTTGGTATGGAGCGTGCAGTCAAAATTTTGGCTGAAGGCAAGGTCAACTGGAGCGCATTGATCTCCCATACGTTTACTTTGGACGAGTTCGACAAGGCGTGGGAGGTGTTCACTTCTGGTACAGGCTTGAAGGTCTGCGTTCGACCTTCTCTAGAGTAAAAAGGCTTTACACCATTCTCCTTCTATTCTATTCACCATTTCGGCTTTGAAACTTTCTCTTTGTATATTTTTTTCTCTTTCTTTCGGCTTTTAATGTAGAGATGATGCTGGTGATACATTGTTTTCTATACATATATCCATGTCACAAGGTTCCGTATGATGTAGTATGTTGTTGTGGCACTAATAAACTTAACGGTTGATCCGACTACCACGGAGCGATCTCTCGTTGGTTTTTTTGTTTACAATCCAAGTATTTTTTCCCACTAATGCAAAAACGGAGGCGAATTTGTCAACCAGCATATAAGCTTATGCACTGTAAACTGACACCAGCTTGCTTGATATGAAGATCGTTGTACCCAGTTTTTGGAACTTGCTACAATGTGTTTGTCAACTTGTGTTTCTCTAATCTGCAAACCCGCCCTTGTAGAGAGAGAATAAAGATGTGGCATAATATTTTAACCAACATGTACCGTGAATGACTGCTGATGTTTCGTCTACTAGCTATTGTATGTTGATTTAATAAACATAGTGATATGATTCAATTGGTAATTTCCTGAACATGGCCCATGTAAGTTTCTTTCAGAATAACACAAGCTTAGATGATGGCTGACATAACTTTTCTCATTCAAACGATATGAGAAAAAAGTTCTAAGCGACCTTGAGCGCGAGCTATTTTACCTTCGCATGAAGAACAGCACATCATTTTTTGCTGTTTTTGATGGATCTGTGAATGAGTTTAATGCATCGTTGAAGAAACCGTCGCTATTCATTCAAGGACTGGGAAGTGTATCTATTTTCGAAAATCGCTTTCGTTTCAATCTCACGTCGACCTCTTGCGTTTCTGTGCTTCTTCCGGGTTTTTTATGGCTTTGGACGTTGTGCAATCAGTGACTAACTGACGACAATACCCGCAAACGCTACAGATACCTATGTGTTGGTTCATTGATTCGTACATTTCTTTACCAATGCATCGACATTTAAACTCTCAACAACAAGCCTCTGAGCTTGCAATAGTCGTTGCAACAAGTGCCGATCATCACGGTGGACGTGAATTTCAAGTAGTTATACCTACGACCCTGTGCAACATTGCTTTTGGCCTCCTCATTGCAATCTTCACAAATCACCAGTGCTGCTGCCCGCTACGGTTTCGTTACCTTGAGGATGTACAGAATCTCTTCGACCTTCACAATAAACGCATCGTACCACTGTGGTTTTTAAAAGACCTGTCAAATTTGTCTTGATGATGGTTACTGATGTGTCGAGTTTATACAGGAGAAAATTTACAAATTTTTGGATGGTAGTGTTGGTGGTTCAATCAGAAGCAAAACAACAAGAAGAATCCAGACAGCAATAATAATACCAATCCAGTAGTGGGATCACATATTCATCAGTTGCAAGTTCATTTGGAAGAAAAACGGATAATAGGAAAAGGCGAGCAAGAAGGCTCCTTTCCGTAGATGGCCTGTCGAGTTAAGGGCGTCCATTTGCTCCCTTCAAAATTCGGTAGTTCCATGAAGCAGGTATCAAAGTATGCAAGCGAGATCTATAAAATATTTCTGTTATTTGCACCGCTAAAAAACATTACAGTGGTGAGTAATGGCTCCGCAATACTGTTGCATCTTTGAGCATCAAATCGTTTCGTACCACATTAACATAAGAACTACTCACTAACAACAAACTACGTTTATAATACAGGCATCATCAACGATCTACTCAAAAGAAAACAAATTTGAAGAGCAGACCAATAAGTTTACAAAGCGTTTAACATAAGAACTATTTGCGCGCTTATTGTGCGAGCTTTATCGCCTTCTTATCGTCTCTTGGAAGTGACGTTAGGTCCAAGAATCCCGCTTTGAAAGCAGGCACATCGGAATGATCAGTGCAAGCTTTTCAATCCAGGTGAAAACCAAAATGATAAGAAAATCGTTTTATGTTAAGCTACGTGCAGGAAGAGTGAGAGAGACGAACAGCTGAAAAGAAAAACATTCCAAATTACAGATCTGGCAATTATACATGTCTGCCGGCGTATGCTCTGACGTTGCCTCTTATAAAATAACCTTTTCCTAAAGGAGGATCCTCGGTAACAATTTTTTTTCTTGACAATTACTTTGGCAATTTAGGCGAACACAGAAGGTGAAAGAGAGTGCTAAAGCGTTGTGATCGTGTTACTGCCAGCTACGATACAGAGCCACTGTCACTGTTCCCCGCTTTGTTTAGCACGGAGCTGTGAATGAATGGAGGGGGGCGTATTTAGTATTTTGAAACTTTATAAGAAGAATGCGAAAAAGAAAAATATATTTTTATTATTTTGTTTATCATTTTCTTATTTGTGTGTAATAAATAATAAATAATAATAAAAGAAAAGTTCGTTTTAATTATCCCAACATATACCGTTGGCATCACATGCACCCGAAGGTTCACGATCGGCTGCCGGAGTATATGACCACATTCCCACTGGTATATATTGCAAATTTTCTTCAGGGCGGACCACTGAATCTGCCGATCATCAGAAGAATTATGACAATAGCCAGCACAGGCATATGACCCGATCATGGCACAGAGCAGTGCATCTGTACTACAGACCAAAGCCGTACCAAAACGAACTAAAGAGAAGAAGAGAAAAAAGAAAGGCGAAATTGCTCGCTTTATATAGACATTTTTCTCGTTCGGGACTTCAAATCCCCGTGAATTCTCATTGGCCCAGATAACGGGTTGCGTATCAACTTGTGGGTTGCCTACTATGGCATAGCAAACGATACAGCACCAAAGGAAATGAAAGGAGGAGTGGTACCTGATGGTCAAGTAGACAAGCGTGCTTCGGCGGTAGTGGTACGTGTCTCTCACCATGGGCTGCTGTACCTCCGATGCTGTCGCCGCTTGGTTGTGAGGGGTCCGTGCACGGCACCGTGTCAAGCGAAATCAAAGACACGAATGCAAATGAGCAAGTAGATTCACGGAAGAAATGCTTTTCTGCGAGCAACAAAATAATGGAAATAGGAGTAACTGACAAGGTAGACAACCTAAAAGGCTCTCCGGCATCAGCTGTTTAGTAAATATCAAGGACACGATCCTCCCAGCAGCCAGTTTCTATTTTTCACCCATCAAGGCAAACAGCATGAGTTTAGAGCGTAGTCCACAGACCATTCCATTTTATTAGTATCTTTTGATTGCATGTGCTGTGTGCGGAAATAGATACAACACACACTTGACTCCAACGCTGCAGTGTATCATAGACCCATCATCTTTTATTGTGAAGCGTGCTTGTCCACTGTTGCTTTATAATTTTCGCCATCCGCCAACAGTTCTCTGTTATACGCCGTGTAACCTCCCTCCCTCCATCCTGAATTTATACAGCTGCTGGTAAGGTACCATCCTCTATCCAAAGATGTATGCGCTGCCGCAGATAAGTTGACCCGCTCATTCCGAGTATACGCTGCCGCTAATAAAGTCGACTCACCCTTCGTTGATTTTCATTGCTGTTGACAAAGTTAACCGGTTCGTTTGTTTTTGTGCGGTTCTACGTTCTTTTTGAGCAGCGTTCAAGATCTATTGGGACGATCAGGAGAATGACACTATAAACGATGACCTCCTACTGTACATTTTTTAACCCTTTTGCGCGTAATTCGTTGTTTCATTGATCACCTTGTTCACTCGCCATCCCTTTGTGCGTTTCGAGTGCGAAGTCAATTGGTCAAATCGTTGAGTCACAATGCCCTTTCACTCTATAAAGTTTTCGCTTCAGGGGAATGCTGTTAAACGTTCAAGGTTTGACACACGCATCACTTTGCCACTATCCAAAAAAGAAAGATCAGTGATGCGCTCTTCCTGATTTCCTCATTTCTAGACTACCTTTGCTTCCTGCTGATTTAGGTACGTTATGCTTGTCATTAGTGTGGGTTTATGCGTACGCGTTCATAGCCTTCGTGACGTATTAAAAAAAAGAGACGCAGCGAATTTTCCCCTACTGTTGCCAATTTCCACAGCAACATCCACATTTTGTCTCTGACCTTCTCTTTGCAGATTTCTTGTCGTTGCCGAATAAGTGATGTTATGATAAAGCCTGAGGGAATATCCATACTATATCCTGCTTTTTTGCAGTTGCTCTTTAATACACGTTAGTAGCGCCGTTGAATGTACATTACGTCCCACTTGATTTAACATATGGTCCCTTTTGCTTAAATTACATCCGCCTGATTTTACTATATCTTGCCTTTGGTTGACACAAAATATCAACTTTAGAAAGAGGTGGAGAAGACAGAAAAGTGTGCTGGGGACGAGCAGCTTCTTCAATACAAGGCTTCTCCCAGCAGTAATTCCGTTCACGACTGGTGCATTGATTGGTGGCAAGGTGGTATATTATATCCATTAAAATTGGCAGGAATAGTATGTATTTGCTCTTGAACTACGTGCGTTTGCTTTGAGCTATGTAGGGCTTGCCGTTAAAGAATGCTTCAAGGCTACGTTTTTGGTAGTTCTGCTTGAGCCACTGATCCGGTCAGTATACGGAAATGTTAACCAGGCTCGTGTCAGCTTTTAGCAATATGTCAAGAGAAGTACTTAGTCTCTGGATCGCATTCAAAGGCACTGTAATACCGTGGATGGCGACTGATAATGAGCGCCGAAACAACTACCTGCCCCTCCGATTGGGATCGTCGTTTAACAGATATACGTAATATAAATACAAGATTTCGATGAAGTTTTCCAACAGTCTGCGGACTCATGGAATATGATGTTTGAGGTATCGTTTGGACAGTAGCACATCAACCAACAGATAACCAGGGGACAAGATGGGCAGTGGGAATAAGAAAATACGTACAATGTGATCTGCCAACGTGGGTCAGTATGTATCCAAACTTAGGTTGAATCGCTTTTAAATATAATGAGGATAATTATGCAATATCACCAACAACCATTGGCGAAGAAACGTCATATATTGGGCTAGAAAACCTTGGAAATTAACATTTACATCTTAAGATGCGGTGCTTCCCGTTTTTGCACCATTATCTCATCGATCATACACGCCGCTCCATGTTGTTACTGCAGGTGGAAGTTCAATTTCATCCTGTACGTCGCTGGACACGCTGATAAAAATTACGTCTTGCAGTATCAATTGACGCTCAAGCGAGGCGTGCCCTTTCCCAATGTTTATCGAACAATTGATGAAACTCCTTGTAGCCGAATAAATTGCACAGTAGGTTGTCTACAAGAGAGACATTACCGCAACTACAATACGTTTATATGCAATACAGTAAAGTTTATAGCATTTCGATCTATATGGTATGATACGCCTCGAGCATAGCTGGTTGAATGAAACGGGTTGCTACTTTTGCAATTATTGCAACCTTTAAAATCAAGCAAATATTCTCGGGGGTCGACTATATCGGTCAAGTGATGCGCCTCAGTATGTACACAGGCATATAGTTGTGTTGATGCCTCTTTCATGTGCAGACGCTCTTTCCATCGTGACAACACTGTTATACAACGAGAAAATCGGCGACTAGACGAGAGATAAGAGCACATCTCGCTTATGCAACTTTCAAGTGAGATTCGTTCTATTTTATCATACTTATTGTTAGTATTTTACCATTTAATTTTTAGCTCCAGTTTCGAGATTTACCTTCCATGATTTCAGCAAGTCTTACTACTTCCATATACAAAGGATATTCCTATCATATCCATGACTATTATATGAAAATTTAATTCTGTAATTAAGAATATATTTTATACTAGTTGTAACATAAGCGAAAATACATTACATGGTAGCAGTATCAAACGACGATATCGCACAGCTACCCGCGGACAAAATAACGCCGAGTATCGTTTCTGAGGCCAAGTTAAGATCTGATGATACGGCGATCATCACGTCAACATGTAATTTCATGAATATTAACTAATACGTCTGGTGTTCAACTTCGCTTACCCACGAAATGAATTACCATGACTGATATGAGGTTAAGCATAACTGGTAATACGGATATGGGATATTGTTGTGTTATCATCCTTTCTCTTTGTTTGCGTCAAATATATGTATAGACCATTCATGATATGTGAGCTGTATTTACAAAGAGCGAGTGAAAAGTACAGTATTCGACATGGAAAGATGTGATAGATCTGTGGGGCAGTCAAACAATGTGTTACATACAACAGTATCGAACAGTGGTAAATGAGAGCCTCAGTAAAAAATCTCTATAAGGTCCACGTTCTGTAAACTCTGTTCTTAAAATACCAAGTATTTATTTAACACTTTCTTTTGCTATACGCAGCTTATTGAGCTTATAATTACATCGATACGTGAAGTACATACACTGCCTCCCAAGGTCCAAGAAAATATGGCCAACTTGCTATAAGTGTACAGCGAGACGCGCTGTTTATAATTGCGGGTTCCAGCATTATGTTTCTGGTATCTCTGCGCTTTAAAATGTTGATTTGAAAAAGGAAAATTAAAAACCACCTTCACGTTCTCTTGGTTACCGCTATATAATGTAAACATGAAATGCAGACTAGTAGCAGCACCACAGATAGACGATGTGATGGTGGAGACTTCCACAGGATCGTAATGAGCTGCGTGTATATCGCTAGGCTTATATACTTCGTCCTGAATGCTCATGTTATTCTTGCAGAACCGTGGTAAAAATTACTACTATGAATTAAACGGTAGAAAAAGGCTCATATTGTTCATGCATTTGTATCACGTTTATATGGTTCAGGTTGTATCTATAGATGATGGTGTTCTGTGCCGTCGCAGTACATCTCTTCTTTTTTACTGTCCATAAAAGCAGTAGTGTGGTCAATCATATTGTTTTTCGTGGGTAGGAGGTTTGACGGAAACCAAGCTAGTCAGGTGCATACGATATTGGTCAGCACCATCCAGTTCAGAGCATATTATTGCCGTACTTAACCTTTTTTATACCTACCAGCGATACCATGTCGAAAAGACTTTGGGTTGAGGATAGCAAGGATATGAACACGTTAATGCCGCATGATGCTGTGGTCAGCGTACAGTAGTTTTAGAAGAAGCTGTGTTTTTACATTCCTTGAATTAAGCGTTCAAAATTAAGCACCTTAAATCTTTATAAAGGACACAGCGTAGATACTTTGACCTGGGAGGTCATTTCAACGAGACTCGGGTATGCATTTGTTACACAAAATCAAAATATTTGGATATATATGATATTCAGTACATAATTGAACGCGTACCTGCAAATTCTTTTTTCCGTTCTTTCTTTTTTCCCTTGCGTTCCGTAGTTTACGGTTTTCTATTACTATGGATTATCGAAAATTCCTTAGTACTCGGTCGAAAGCTCGCGTACCATCAGCTAGTGAGTAGAAAATTATTGCCACAACAGCAACTTACTTTGGCCTAACAGTATCGGTTATTCAGTTCGCGCCTTGATGCCACTTTACAACAAGAAGGATATGGTAAGCAAAATGATATAGACACACTGACATCGTCGTGTTTACTCGCCTTTATGAACTTCAGATCTCGTTGGCCGCAGGCATGCCCAACCCTGAAACGTTTCCATACGCAAGCATGTCCGTTACGCTCAAGTCCGGCGAAATCATCACCTTTGACGATGATCTATTCAGACGTAGCTTATCGTACGATTATACTGTAGGGTATTCCAGTTTTTTTGAACAAAACTTCTACTTCCTCATCATAGCAAAGAAACGGAACTAATAAAGTAGCTTTCTCACGGTCATATTTTTACTTTAAAATATGTATAGTCTGGCATGCCGCAGTTTAACCAATGGTTACGTGAGCTACAAATCAGGGAGCATGCGCCACCCTGTAAAGAGTTCGATCTGTCGATTGGCTCGGGTTCACAAGACTTATTTACCAAGGTTAATACATTAACAAACTTTCTGACTTTCAGTTGTAAAGAATGAACTCTCACAGTTTTGGCATCTCACATGATTCATGGTCACATGATGATTTTGACTCTTTTTTTTTCTTGCGTAGGCAATGGAAATGTTTGCTGAACCAGGAACTGCTTTGCTCGTCGAAGAACCAACCTATGCTGGCGCTTTATCTTTCTTAAAGTCTGAGCCTGTCGATTTGGTCCCAGTCAATACTGATTCTGAGGGAATTGACCCGGAAATGCTCGACAGGATTCTGACCAGTTGGCCCGAACTGAACCCTACGGGCAAAAAGGACCAACCTCGTCCTCAGGTGCTCTATACGGTTCCTGTTGGCGGAAACCCAACTGGTGTCAGCTCAACGCTGCAACGCAAAAAGCGAACCTATGAAGTATGCCAAAAGCACGATATACTGATCATCGAAGATGATCCATACTATTATCTCCAGTTCAAAACACCGCGTACGCCGTCGTACTTTTCGATGGATGTGGATGGTCGCGTTCTGCGTATGGATAGTATGAGCAAGATTTTGTCGTCGGGCATTCGCATCGGATGGGTTACCGGACCCAAGGTTTTGGTCGAGCGTATAAATCTGCACACGATGGTATGTGGTACCTGTAAAAGTGAAAGATTGAGAAAAAATAGGTTAATGTGGGATTGGAGAAAACAATGTACATCTTCCTGTTATGTTGGGGTATATGGATGCGTAATAATCATTTATGGACTCAATGTTCTCTTTACAGTCGACAAACTTACAACCTGCTGGTGTACCTCAATTGATGGCATATGGTTTGTTGGCAGAATGGGGCTATGACGGCTTTTTCGCTCATGTAGACCGTGTCGCCAATTTTTATCGCGAGCGTCGGGATGTTTTTGAAGAAAGCTTGGAGCGTCATTTAAAGGGATTGGCGGAATGGGTTGTGCCTGATTCTGGCATGTTTGTTTGGATTCGCTTGCTAGGCGGTATCACCGATTCAAACGAGTTGATTTTGCAAAAGGCTGTCAAGAATAATGTACTAGCTGTTCCGGGTGTGGTACGTAATGATTCTATTACCAGATATCGTGATTTACTACAGTCAGTTTTTATAGTATCCTAAAATTAATACCTTGATTTTACGTGATCCGCTATATAGGCCTTTATGCCTCTCAATGACATCACGCCTTGCGTCCGTGTCTCGTACAGCTGCATAGAAAAGGATCAAATAGACGAAGCTGTGCGTCGTCTTGCTACGGTTATTCGCGAAGAAGCTGCAGCAAATTCTGCAAATAACTAATAAATGAAAGATTGGTGGTTTTAGTACCAGTTTTGGTAACTTCCTTTCGTACAGTGTGCGTTTAGAGCAAAATGATGGGCGTGCCAGTGAAGCCGTTGATTAGATTCTTTTCAACAGCCGAAAACCCGGGTAGGGAAAACAGATAATGCAAAAACAGGCGACTTTCAGCAGACAGATGGCGCAGCATGACATCGTCTGGAAGAGAATGGAGAGAAATTAAGCGCATCGCCTTCAGCAATCGAAGAAAACGTGACCAATAATGGTCTAGGACATCCATCACCCTTCCCCACCTTCTCCAGTCAGTTGTGATGCTTCTTAATAAGAGGACTGAGGAGCAAGTGATACTATGAGACGTTCTCCATTAGCCAGAAGGAGAAAAGGGGGTAGTACTGGTTTGAAGTTTTGAGTATGTTCGTTTATAACAACTGTCATGGTTTACAAACTCCTATTTCCTTTACCCTTTAAAGAGCTCTTTTGTCTTTTAATCCTATCACTGCAAATGTACAGACCTCTAGAAAGTGCTGAAGGTGGCTGTTGAACACATTGTGGTGTATTCGTAATGAAGAAGTGTATGTGTAGACCGCGGTGATTCCTGTGTTTCTTTTCTGAAGAAAATAAAAGTTCTGTGAGTTCTTCCATACGCTCGACCGGGGTATACATACTGCTGCTTTGTGACAGGAAACAATTTTGCTTGAGTGCTCTCTAGAATACATAGAAATGGCTCTTGTACACACCCGCATTTTGGTTTTTCTGTCGTAATCCTACAATATATATGTTGGAATACAAGACATAATGCAAGTAATAGCGAAAAAGTAAACCTTGTAGCCACCAGCTGAAACAATAGCAAGTTATTTCGTTTGCGCTCTTATGTACAGTATTTGCTTTTGAGTGCTTGCTAATATACATGCAAGATGAACTTTGCGTTAGTTATTGCTTGATATATGTATTTTGCACGGATAATACTATTTACTTATAACACAAAAGCACTAAATAACGCAGTTGTATCAATCACCTTGTATTAGGCGAATGCCCATCTACAACGGCGACTGCATACATGCGCAAAAAATGTCATAGAATTTCGGAAACTGTTATTAAACCTCTCTCTCTCTCTCTCTCTCTCTCTCTCTCTCTCTCTCTCTCTCTCTCTCTCTCTCTCTCTCTCTCTCTCTCTCTTCCTTTCTCTGTTTGTGTGTGTGGATATCCTTGCAGAGGGCGCTACTGGTATGGAAATAATTAGCTTGGCAGGTCCAATTGCTCGCTAAATGGCGACATATACACTGCAGTGACTGATTCTTAGTTCAATTTTCTTTTAGTAGCTAATGTATGCGAACCACATGGCCATGCCAATGTTTTCAAAGCTGGTTTCCTCCGTTGACTTCGCCTTTGCGCTGAGCTTCTTAGCTGCACTTCTACTATGCAGCCACCGCAACTACAGTAAAACCTCGAAATTAATCGGAACGCATTCATGAGTTTAAATGCCTAAAACAAATGACACTGGAATTTATTGCAGCTGGTAAAAGTTGCACTTCTCGAGGATTTCTGGCAGTAGCTCATCTGCACCCACTTCTCCCACACGCAAAAGCCATCATATAAAAAAACAAATAACAACCATATGCATACTAGTACTCTTCATTTCCCAATAGCATCATCTACGGCACATAACAGCCAGCATCGCAACAGATCAACAGCCACAACAACAGTGATGCGTTCACTACCTGTAAAAAGCACATCCTCAGCCAGATAACCCGTCTGCAGCAGCTGTTCTACAACCACCACACCTTTGTGGAGACGGTCGGCAGACGACAAGCTACCATGCAACGCTTGCGGGCTCTAGTAAGTTAGAACACATTTTTGCATTTTACTGGTTTTGAAGAGCGAGAGGGTGTGTGAAACGGAAACTCGCTATCATTATCATGCTCCATCCATTATAGTTGAAACTGCATCATGCACCCCGTTAAGGCATTTGAAGCCACATTCGGTCGCAAGGACGCTCGCGGGGAAGAAGATGGGTTGCAGCAGCAACCGATTTGTTCTAATTGTGCCACATCCACTACCCCCTTTGGCGTCAAGACGATAGTGGCGCACCGCTATATGCAATGCCTGTGGATATAGTAGGTGTTCTTTTTGTTCCCTTTGTTTATTTAAAATTCATATAGCTGCCAGAGTAACTGATTAGTTTTGCATGACAGCTTGAACTGCATAACCAACGACGACCATTATCGTTCAAGTCCGATACCATTAAAAAGCGACAGCGTGTTGAAAAAACACAGAAACGATCACACCGCCATCGTCAGCAGCAGCAGCAGCAGCCCGACGGCCGGCTGAAAGAATAAGAGCAGCCACTCATCATCACCATTAACAGCTTTTACTCTCATCACACCATACCAACATGTCTCAACAGCCTTTCTATTACCAGCCAAGTTCAGAGTTTCTATATAAACACTGACATTCTGTTTTGTTTTCCCCTTTCAACACACTCGCACTTCGAAGCACACACACCAGAAAAATATCAACACCGACAATGCATCTTTATCATTTAAGGAAAAATAAAGGCTTGTGTTTGAACAAGCGAAAAGATGACAAAGAAGAATTGGATAGAATCCGCTGCCCAGCTATGCTGCTTAAAGCAAAATATTTCCTGTATTTCTTTCGTCTAGCTTTTTCCATCCACCATGGCGACAGAGCAAATGTTAAACGCAACAACAGCAGAAACAACCACAGCAACGAAGCATGCAGACTATGCGTTCGATCAAGCTACAGATTCGTGCTACATTGAGAATCGGACCACGGGGCTGCAGTTTTTGCTGGGCGTGTGAACATGGTACACTCATATTAGCATTCATTTACGAAACAAGTTTTTTGGGCAACTGCAAATAGATTCTTACCCAATTTTCATGCGCATTAGGACTGGGCTATCGGGCAGGCCCCTGCTGTAAGTTGTTTGGAGATCACGCGCTTGTTACACATCGAATCATATTGTCCAGTTCTTCTTACACGACCTTTTTACTTTCGATCCAGGGCGGTATGTGTGACCTCACATCTTTTCCGAATGTACCAGTGGGCAGAGTATACGCATGGTCTTTATTTGTTTCTGAATCGCCAGCATGCTTGATCGTATATAGGTTATGTCATTGCACTGTCACTTAATGCCGTACTCCAACACTGTTCCTCTCGTTACCAGCAGCATCCCGTAGCGCTCAATACATTCTTTTTTAAAAAGACTGAGGCGGGTCCATTTGTAGTCGAAATTTCAGACCTGAAACCCAGTAAACGCGGCTTTTGCGTTATAAAAGCCATCATGCGTCAGCCCAAGGTGTGTTTTTCTATGTTGTCCCACCGTATATTTACTCACGTCTATATACCTGTGTGGCAAGAAGATTAACCATTTTTTTGATAATACAAATCAGAATCGCGAAGCTATAGTGCCGCAACGGCTGCAGGATTATGATCCAAGCGAGTATGTAACCAAGACACATAGTATTATCACGATGGCCAACATGGATGGAGAAAAGGGCTTAACCTACGAGACGCTTGAAGCCGCCAAACCTCCTTCAACGGAAACCATGCAGCACTCGCAGATGGATTTCATGCATCAGTACATTGACATTTATCAAGACATGAGCACATATCCGATACGCGACCAGGCTAGCGGCAAGACGATCTGTCCTGGCAGACCCGAAGTGCACCATTCTGTATGTTTCAAAGACGGTCGCGAGACGGATTTTAAAAGCATACCTTTCTGGGCCGATCTTTTCATTCATCCCATGTATTCGTTGGACAATGAGCTGCTGGGTGGCCCATCATGGATGCCTACTTTGCAGTTGGAGGTGCAGTTCAAGTCGGTTCCCAAGCATGTGAAGCGTGTGTTGGCGTCTTTCAAGGTGCCACATATCATTAACGGACGATTCGATTTGGATGGTGCGCTCTTTGATCAGGATAAGAATTTACTAGCGACGACACGACATCAGTGCCTGGTGGTGCCATGGAACGTAACACGCCATCAACAGCTCCTTCAAAGTCGTCTTCCTTGTTATCCCCTTCCAAACTCTAGATTATTCAATTATACTAGTTTCGACCGCTAATTGTGCCGTTTGCGCCACCTCAACTGCTGCCATGCTCCCTCTTTCTTGGCTAGTAATAATCTGCTTGTGTATATCCACCATCATAGAAACATCATCATAACACGGATTAATAGAAACTTTGCATAGACTCCTTTTCTTTTCTCTTCTTATGATATTTGCCATTTTCTCATCCTTTTTGTTGTGGCGGCAACTCATGTCAATATACGACTTTGATGTGTACTGGGGTCGAATGCTCTTCCACGACCATCTACCGACTCAGGTGCTTATTTGTATTCCGTCAACTTGGCTATCATCTGGCACGCAACACAAGACTTTTCATAAACATTTGACACAAGGGAAAGGTTTCAAGCAGTCCGTAGCAAACCGAACTGCCTCGACCCTTGATTCATTAAAAAATACATCCCTTCCGCGATAAGCTCCACGATGGAGTAGTAGGTGAAGGTGTGTTGTTAATGGCCTTACACTTTTCACTGATAAATTGAAAAGTATGTCTATTTCTTTGCTCCACTATTTTCAAAACGACTACTCTATTTTCTATAGCTTGCTTTCGGTTGCTGTCTCTTGCTTCTTCTTGCGTGGAATTATACGAAGTTGATGTCTATATCACATACATTCATACTTTAGATGAGTGTCTGTGTCCATTAAATGCCAGCGATAAGATAAGAAATTATGTGTACCTAGTGGTTGCGAACAACTCTCCGTCTTCACCATAGAGACAGCCATCCATATCCCATCGACCATTTATAAGGTTGGGAACAAAATAAGACAAGTATGCCCGCCGCAATGGAGTTTTGATTGGCTTCTTGAATTGGATCTCGTACTGCAGTGTCGGTTTCCAGCTGTCTCGTATTTCTGGACTATTCTTCATATTGAGGGAGCCGAACGGATCCATGTACATATCGAAGAAGTACACAATGGCCAAGTTATCGACAGGTCGTCCGTCAGCAAACTCAAACGCATAGTGAAGTCTTCCATCGTTTTTATTCATATCCTGGTACATGCGGAGCGTCACATCTCCCTCACAAGCCGGCGCCAGTATCGTCATATCCTCAATGGAAGAAGCAGGCTTGTATATATGCTCTGGATCAAGAAGCTGTGAAATGCCTTGTTCTGGTCTTGCTCCACTTAAACTGATCACAGCAAAGTTTTTGATAACATAATCCTGTGGATCATAAGCTTCCAACGTGTCCAATGGCTTCGTGTTGCTGTCAACAGTTTTAAGTTGTTTCAGCTTGATTACAAAGGAGCACATGCCTTTGCTGCTCGCCTTGATAGTCTCCACCTCGACGACAAATGGTCCTGTTGTTCCCGGGTTTACGAAAAACGTGTTCATCGAAATAGGATGCCGATCAGGATAGCGTTGCATAGCAACCTTCATCATGACAGACGCCATATAACCTATATGACCGGTATTCGTCTCAACGTTTAGCCCGAACAACGTTGTACCGGCGATGTTTACTTTCTTTTACTTTAATGGTGCAAACACTTACCACCCTGTTCATGAAAATAGAAAGGTACGCATCAAAATATATTTAGCTGAGCGCTGTGCAACCCTTTTTTTTTACTTTTCGAATTTACCAGTGTGATCCCTGAAGCAGCCCAGCGCTAATGAATTGATGAAAGAAAAAAAAGAGGGTTGTACCGAGTAAGAAATGAGCCAAATTGTTTCTTGATGACGATAATATCTCAATCAATAAAGTCGCCTACACGATGAAGATAGCCAGCATATATTGAAGCTGCTGGTGAATCGCCTAAGTGACGTGATTCGGTGACCGTGTCGAATTCAAACTGTGTCATTCTTTCGACTCTTCTCCTTGGAAAGGTGAAAATAAAGGTATTTAGCAAGAGTGTGAGGTTTATATTTCAAAACGTGGGTATTTCATTAGCACATTGATTCATAATCTTTAATAGCGGTGTGTAACTATGCCAAAGCAGCAATCAAAAGCACCGGCGCGTTTGGCCGACGTGTATCCGTAACCAACTCTTTAATACACTGAGCTTGCTTTATTGGTTTTTCTCTAATCATCTCAACTTTACGTGCCATGTTTGCGCCCTGATATTTTATACGTTTTATTTTCTTGAGATAATTATATATTCATTCAAACTTAGGTTAATCGCACACATCACCATTCTGTGTGCGGTCCGGGCGACAACATCAGCTAAGGCAGGAAGGTGGCAATTAGACCCTGGGATCTGGCGACAGCACACTTACCAACCGATCAAGCGGTCAACAACATTTCAATTACATGACAATTCTCGTCCGTTTCTGATCGTTTATTGTTGAATAGAACAAGAAGCTGTAGGAACGCTTTTCAGTCAATTTTACATAATCTGGCCATAGTATATTATGAAGCGTAGTGACAACCACGCATCAGAGACCGCAAGAGCGGCGAGAAACGATGTAGACAGAACAATTGGTCATTTTGCTCGCTATGTACTTCTTGAAGCGAAGTTCGAGTGACTATCTGATTAAACCGATATCAAGTCAAAACCAATGGTATGCTCATATCTATTGTCTCTTCTTATATAGGATGTAAATGCGATTCAGAAACTTGACGATGACCTCCATATAATAAACCATCACGGATTTGTACACATGGAACATTAAGGACATCAATGCGAGCAAACTAGCATCACATCGTATGTGGCGGTTCATTCTTGTTTTGGTGGTGAGGCAATTAACAGGTGGCGAATGAAAACGCAGTTGTAGCGATCGCAAATCATAAACAGGACACATCTATTGAAAGAATACATAGCCCGTTCATAAGGCGCATCAAACACGATATTGGCTTTGAGGGTGTCATTATGAAGTGGCCTATCATAATCAGATCCACACGACGGCACCACATACCGATACAAGCAGAAAACAAGAAGGCCTACCACCAGGATACAATCGACAATACATTGGTGAGAGGGAAGATCCTACACAATCTGCTCGGTGGCAAGCGAAAGAAGTCAATACATCTTTCAAAGTCAAGGTGAAAGACACGTATGCATATACACTCGAGGCATCACAATGAAACGCACGTGATTGCCCAACGAGTACTCATATTGCTCGCTCAATTATTATGCGACGACAATAAGATCATTTGTGGAGAAAATAATAAAGAGTAATTGTGCAATGGCTTTAGACGGAATAAAACAAACTTCATTGGGACATACCACATATTCATTAAATCATCCATTGAAAAAGTGGAAACCTTTTAAGAACAATATTGCTGTTTAATGCATCTTCAAGAGACGCAGACACATGCTTCAGGAAAATCATCTACAGTTAGAAGCAAGATATACTGGGGCAATAAGCATTTAAAAAAGTAGCATGGTGAGAATTAGTGGCATAAAGCAATTGACCCACCTTGTAATGTTACGCAACTGTGCTCAAATTGCTCTGTCGTCTAAAACCAATTCATGGTATTAATCCCTCAGGATTCTCAAGCTTAGCCGTCTGTACGCACAAACTTAAACGACCTAAATTTGATTATGGTCTCGCGATAACCTCATTAACTAAGACACTATTGAAAGCACACAAAACAACTCAAAACCAATGCCTCCGTATAATATACAGTACCCAGAATGCAGGAACGCATTACTACTCTAAAAGCGAAATTTCTATACAGGGCACACTTTTTGTACTGATGATGCTCTACTTACCACACTTTTGCCCACCAGCACAAATCAAAGAAACAGCCACTGGACCAAACTATGCCGTACATACTCTCGTCTGGTAAAATGTATCAGCACTACAAGAAAGCACCAGCACTGCATCACTTGAGCCCATCATCCACCGATATCTTCGCAACAACCCGCACCACACACCAGCGCGATTTCTCTCACAGCATGCCGACCAACATTTGGTACCGAATCAATACTGTGGCTGCCAATGACCATCAAAGAACGAAGCAGATGTGACAGTTTGCGACTGGGATGGCTGCCTGGTGGGCGCCGCAAGTCCTGTAAATCCTGCAGCCACCACGATTTCAATGGACAACGTTCTACCCTCTGCCTACGCATGCATTCCCGCCTCAACATCTACAACAAACAACGGGTCCATTTTCATATAGATTAAATCAACAATTACCAAAACGCAAACCCACTTCGGCTCAACGAATATTAGATACTACCTTTTTCTATCAGATACCGGATTCTGCTGCATAGTAGCACCCCACCTCCAATCTGTTCCAAACCATAACCCTCCCGCTTTTCCCTGTTGCCGCCGAACAGGGTTTTGTTCTTTCTATTATCTCCCTTTTTAGACCAGACTAGAGCGAAAATGCTTCTCTATGATGGCCATCATCTTCACGTCTCTGGTGGCGTGCACATGCAGTGTGAGACCTTACGGAGTGCGTGTAACCTAATCGAGCATTGATGTTTGAAGTGAGCTGCTCTGTGCCATCCAAACAAGAAAAGTTAGACTTGACTTGTGTTGCTTCCCGATCAAACACAAATGCTTCCCCTCATTTCTTCTCGTCCACCTCAAGCACTTCTTTTCTAACTCCCACTTTTCTTTGAAAGAAAGAACGCCACGAGAAAAGATAATGGCAAACAGTAGCAGACGCGTGAGCAAAGCACCAACACCACCAGAACAACAATGGTCGTAGCATCAGCAGCAGCGCCAATAGCAACTACGATGAACAGCAGCAGCCACAACAGCAACAGGAGTGAAGTCATGGTGGTTTCGAGGCTCAGCATCAGACACTTGTGTGGAAGGACGACGAGACCAGTACTGTAATCGCCGGCAATCTTTATACTGTAAGAGGCTGATCCAGTTCCCCCCCTCTCTCTCTCACATGTCTTATCATAAAATTCATACGCAAGGTTCAAACGTTTCGAGGTGTATCATAGTGCTTGATTAAAAGTGTCTGTGGAATAGTTCCAAAGATAAACATATCAAAAGGAACCTTACGACATAATACTTGTACAAGCACACAACGTCATTTAGACAAAGATAAGACTGAAGAGCTCTTCTTGGACGGCCATCCTAAAGACAATGTAGATGCACCGCCAGATTGAGTACAAAAACGCATGGACACAGACGGCGAGAGTCTGCCAATCTCCTGAGAGTCCCACGCGTCCGTACCTTTAATACGCGCGGAAGAATACAAAGCGTAGTGGGGCTTCTGTAGGCATTGTTCTGTTTGCCACTTGGAATCACGGATCGCCGGTATAGATTCCCAAAAGACAATGCCCCCGTCATGCGCCCTTATCGATAGCCTAGACCTTGTGTAACCTCAGTGTCGAGTAAAAGAAAAGCGCGTCAATTAAGTAGTCACTTGATGAGAGCCTTGTAGAAAGACGAGACTAGTGTGTACGTGTAGCCTGGAGAGTGCACATTGCAAAGGGGAATGTCTGTGGGGTTGCATTCCCATTGCCTCGGAAGATGACAGACCCATTGTACGATGTGGTCCAGTGTGCTTGTCGGTGTAACATGACATTACCTGGGCTGGCAAGTGACGCTGCCAATTTTCTTTTTTTCCTTTTTTGGATCAGCTGCCCAAGCGAACAGATAAGATATAAAAGCACTGCATGGAAATAATTTTTGCTACTTTGCTCCTCTCTCTCTCTCTCTCTCTTTTCTTTAAATCATGAAAATTGTGACCAAGTTTTCGAAAGCAAAAAAGTACCCGTGCACAGTGTCGACGAGCATAACGATGAACCGGGATGGTCGCGTCCAAAAGTTTGTCGTCTCAGTCAGGACTTCCCGTAGCAGCAGCAGCAGCAGCAGTGGCGGCAGCAGCAGCAGCAACAGTGACAGTATCAGTGGCAGTAGCGGTAGCAGTGGCAGCAGTAGCAGTGGCAGCAGCAGCAGCAGCAGCGACAGTAGCAGTGGCAACAGCGGTAATAGCAGCAGTATGTAGTAGTAGCAGTACGTAGTTCAATAAAAAGCATATTTTTTTAAAATAAAAAGGCAGCATTGCGCTGTATAAAACCAAAGATACGTCGCGTCTTTTCTGCTGTTACGTACGCGTGTGTGTGTATTTGAGTAACTTAAAAGCCACCAGGCATCTGAATGGGCCTACGAGAATTATGGGGACCCAGGCAAAGGTCATGGTTATCAGACGCCAAAGTCGCTTCCCAACTGTAGTGACGTGACTAATACAACGCATCCACTGGTGATGAAAATTGATGAACAGTTGGAGTGTCCGATGGATACAAGGGGTATTCGCGTATACACGTTTGTTTGCGATTAATCGTATATGGAACATTTGGCTCCGTTGCGGCCAGTGGTAGATGCATCACTCGCGTAAATATTTCAAGTGACATGGCCAAACGATAATGTGATGCTGTAGTAGAATTAGTACATGAAAATAATAGGAGAGCAGAAAGTAACCCTTTTGTTATATTATTGAGAAACTTAATCGTTTATTTCTTCAAATACATGTTTGACGGTATATTGTCTGGTCTGTCGCCGGCATTTGTAATACCACATCGACCATTACATTTTACGAATGCAACGCCGTCCGTTTCATTGTTCTATAAAAATTTTCAAGATTCGTGGTTGCTCTACAGTACTCATTATCTTTAATGCAGTTCTAATGCTCAAGCGTTGTGGATTTCACGAGGCAAACATGGACTCGTATGATACTAAGATATAAGCAAAGCGGAAACCGATGCCATAGATCCAATCAGCCGCGCCCATAATGTTTATATTCATGGTACATGGATCGTCGTAACGTCGTGATTCAAAAAGTATAGAATTCCAGCACTTGATCGCACCAAAGGGTTGTTTTTGGAACCAAGAAGATATCGTTCCCATTAGACGCCCTTTCCAGGCTCTGGTACATAATATAAAGTGCGAGCGAGGGGATCGAGATAATATGATTTTTTTAAGGTGGTACAATAGCAAAGACATGCACAGAGATCGTAATCACCTTCACTCCTTTCTCCCTATTCAAAGTAGAGAAAAAACACTCAAAGAAATCTTTTGCATAAGAATGTTGTTGGACAACTTGATTAGACGGTTATTCGTGTCAATGTACAGGCCAGTATGTAAATCCGCTCTCGACCAACCAAGATTCTCTCCAAAAAGGTGACAGATGCGCTTTTTCGGTATTCATGAGGTGCATCATGTTGAGCATACAGTCCACCTGCAACAAATGATGCTTACGATCGATTGCAGTGTAGTAGTAGTAGTAGTAGTAGTAGTAGTAGTAATATTGTAGTATTAACAACCATTATAGGAGTCAAAATTCGTTGTTCTTTCATCAAGTCTTCGCACAGGAGGTATGAGATAGTAGTGAGCCAAGGTACTTGAACAGGTGATAAACGTGCGGACAAAAGATAATGCTCGAGAAATTGGTGGGGATGACGGCTTTAAACTTGCGATTAGGATCGTCATGTAAGTCAGTGAGAACAGATATATCTCGGTTATAGAAAATCTGGGGCTACTGTAGATGATTTCTTTTAATAGAAGTATAGTACTGCTCGCCAAGCCGACGCGTGGTGCTTACAGTATCGGCGCATGGTGACAGGATATGAAAGTAGACCCACAAGTGCGTGGTAGTATCTGCGAAATGACGGAGCATGCAGGATCGCTTATGCCGTATGTACAGTGCCCGCTCGATAATTCGATACTCGATAACTCGATATTTTCGATAATTCGATCACTTTCTCAAATGACCAGGCTGGTAAGCAGTAAAATATCGACAAATCGATAATTCGATCATCGATCGCTTGCTGTGACATATCGACAAGTATAAACCAATAGAAATGCTTAGTGACGCGGAATTGAACCAGCGATCAGTGTCGGATCATACATCAGAGTCCAGAGTTAACATGTATTCCCAATGAATATTCCTTTTCTTAACGGAGTCCCAATTTCATAACTCGATATTTCGATAATTCGATCACTTATGGCTGTGACCAAAGTGATCGAATTATCGAGCGGGCACTGTAATGAGTACGAGTTTATCTAGGATAGCGCGGACGCTTTTAGGTATCGTTGACTAATTCTTTTTCTGAACAGTAGAAGCGGTATGTACCAATAGCGGTGTTTGATAAGTAACGTTTAAAATTTGATTGTTTTATTTAACGACTCTTTGAACGCTGTGCTTTGTGTGGCAATTTCGCTCGAGTCAGATCAGGGGAGAAAGGGGATGATGAAAAACCCTGTGTGCGTAAACAGGGAAAAAGGTTGTGGGGATGGTAGATGATGCTATGGATTGCTGAAGATAGAGTGGAAGAATAAGCAGAAGGAGAGTAAGAAAAGAGAACGGTGTTAGTGGCACTTAGCCAGATTCCTGCGGCAAGGGAGGAGCAATCCATTTCAGTAGTGTGCTGCCAGGCTGCTCGTCGTAGTACTGGTGTAGTTTGGAGTCGGGGTGTTGGTGAGCGTCAAGTTCGGCTAGGATTTTGCATACAACTAGCCATTGTGAACGAAGTAGGTTAATGCGGTGTAGTGACTTTGGCGGGGAGTGGGGTAACTGATTCAAGACAAACGACAGTGGGTCCGGGCTTTGGGACTCTGTGATATATAAACGGCGGTGCATGCGAAGCCAGCGGATAGCGTGGTTTTTGTTGAAATCTGGGGCTTGGCAGGTGTGGCAATTTGATAAGTAACCGATATTGTTGCTTTTTGTTGCTGTAGTCGTAATAAGTAAGTATTCGTTAGAATATAGCATCTCTTTATACATAGCATTTCATGGTATTTAAACCCTCAGATTTATTACACCTTTATCAAGCCTGCCTGTAATACGCTCAAATTTTAACGAACTAACTTCGAATATGGTCTCGCGATAACCTCGTAAACTGAGACGCAATTAAAAGCACTCGACACAGCCCAAAACCAATGCCTCTGTATATCACAAGGTGCCCACCCTTACTCCGAAACTAAAGTGATGCGACGTATCGCCAACCTACCCAGCATGCAGGAACGCACCACGTATCTGTAAAGATAAATCCCACAGGAAGCCCTTCCCGCTTTATTTGAACCACTGCAATGCAACTCGATAAGATCTTTTACAATGCATTGTGGATATATCATTTGAAGATAAGGATAGCTGATACAAGACTTCTTACTTCAACCAGTAACAAAAGAGGTAACACCAGAGCATAAGCCAACAGACATATATAATTGCCAGATCTGTGGAATTGTAAAGTCTGCTTCTCTCTCTCTCTCTCTTCTCGCTCGTAGCTTAAGAAACCAAGTTTTTCTTGTCACTTTAACTTTTACCTCATCCAAAAGACTTACACTGACCATTCCAACGCAGAAAGTTGCGCCTGCTATCAAAAGCATGATTCTTAAGCCAAACGTTACTTCCAGAACGACAGATTGGCGATGAAGCGTGAGTAAGAAACATTTGGTCTGATCGAGTTTGCGTCTTTTCGAGTACATCGATGATGACGCCTATACAATTCATAAATCAGTTCTTATCTAACGTGGTATGAAGACATTTGATGTTCACAAATGCAACAATAATGCACACCCAGTACTTTCCACTACACTACAATTTTTCAACGGTGCAAAATAACAGAAAGGAAAGGATGAATCAGTAGGGATAATAATATTGAAACATAATTTATAGATCTAGCTTGCATACTTTATTGCATAGTACCTACTTAAGAGAACTACTGATTTTTGAAGAACGCAAAAGAGCGTCCCCAAGACTACAAGCCAGCCACTATAGGAGCCGTCTTGCTCGCCTTCTCCCATCATATTTCTTTTTCTTCCAAACGATTTCGCACTTGAGGAACCTCTGATATCACTACTACATTGGTGCTAACATCGCTGTCTGCAATGACTCTCGTCAATTCGCTTCTCGATGGTATCGCCACCACTACCATCTAAAATATAAAATATCATCATATATAAGTTCGACACTCATCAGTAAGCAGTCATCATGACAGGTTTTGATACTACAGATCCTTAGAAACCACACTGGTGATATTGTACCTTTTCTGATATCTTGCGTCATCGCTGATGAGGAGGCGACGGTGCTCGATATACTATTTTTGTCACTATCAATAGCAAGTTCTTCATCTATACTTCCATGCACCTATAGTAATTTAACGGCGTATCCGCATTTCAAGCGTTCTGTTCGTTCTTTGTGCAAAAGCAATCAGAACAGAGAAGTATATATTTGATAGCTGCATTTCATATGTGCTATTGACACAGTGTATTGGCATGATATATACACATCTCAACTGGAGCTTCAACCGCCATAGTGCATGCCAGGATTCAATGCTTTTCGGTTGCTGTTTCGTCTAACTTTGTTTATCTTCACTTTAGCAATCATCACTTTTGTGCATGATGCGCATACAATATTCCAAACTAGCGCATTAAAGCTATCATATCAACCAAGGTATGGATGTTACATCGACATTGAAATCCCGCATTATTGATGCAAACTGGCTCCTCGCACAACAACTTTGTCAAATCCAAAAAATGAATTCAGGTATGTACTCGTCCATTTCTCTTAAGATAAAACAAAGATAATCTTGAGCAACATGCACTTATCTGGCACTCGATTTAACGTCGCACTGTGTGTGTATGCAATTCGACAACACGTTGTCAATAGAACAATTAGCAATGGCCATTCTGCAAGAAAAGAAACAAAGCCAACAACAAAGGGAAAAAGTAAAATTGCAACAGATAAAAAAGATAACGGACCGAAAAAAAAACCACAAAGAAGCAAGTGAAAAGAATGGAGCTAAAGCTGAAAGCTCAAAGACTGCGAGTCATGTCTGAAATAAGAAAAGAATTAAGAATGAAATTGAAGACAAATTCCGAGGTTTGTGTTTTTTTTCTCCTTTGTTGAATACTATTCAGTAGTGAAATTAACTGGAAAAGTTTTGTAGTGTGAGCAGTACATTAATGAGGTGGCCCTGGAGATCTGGGCTGACACGCCGAGCAAAAGCTTTCAATGAGGCTTGTACTTAGTACATTGGAAGACTGGTGCGCTTCCGAATTACTCCAGGCACTATAGTTGCACAAACACGCACGGTACCATCTTCCATCTATTAGTATGTGTGGATTTTTTTTTTGGCAAAGCTACACTAGAAGAATAATTAATATCTATAAATCTTGTTATAAATAACAAATTTATGATATTTCTTTATTCTAGTCAAGCTCCGTTCATTTCATTCACTCCGGGCGTCGAACTAAAGTTCTAGCCTAGAAGGAAGGGTTTGCTCACTACCGTTGCGCCACTTAGAGTGTTTTAAACATAATAGTTAAGTTCAACCCTAAGGGTTGAGAATATTATAGGATTTGAGAAATTTTTTTTTTTTTAAAAAAATTAATTTCATCACTTATTATAAACATTTAAAAATTATATTACTTATAATTTTTTACATATTTATAATTTTACTAAAAACATACAACTAAGGGGTAAACCCCACTATGTTGCATTTCGTGTATGTGTGTGTGTGTGTGTGTGTATGCGTGTCACTCATTTTGAAGCATGGTTTTTTCCTACCTTGTATAGGCCGTCATCGATGCTCTCAGAGTGTGCCCTGAGGATAAGGCTCTTGTGCTTGATATCGAGAACAAAGCACTCATTAGATGTACGCAAAAAAGAAGGAGGAGGTGGAGGCTTCACTGTTTTTTTTCTAAAAAAGGGACCATATGAGATTTTCCCTAACTAAACCGCATTATTTTGTAGTTATCAATGGGCATAAATACCTGAAAGGCATATTTGTAAAGTGCAAAAAGTTATTGAAGCCTTACGTTGATACACTAAGTGCACAACTTAAAAGCAAGGAAATGCCGGTAATTATTTGATCCTTTTTATAAATTCTCCTCGGTGGTTGAACGGTTAATTAAAGTTCATTTTGATGCAAATGCAGGTTAGAGCCCGTCGCTTCAGCAACTATGACAGACTCACCGAAGTCAATGGCGCACAAATACTATGAGAACTGTTGCTGCTATCTAACGGTACAATACCGCTTACCACTATTTTACCATCATCATCATCATTAGGTAATCCATCAATATTTTCGATACCACAACCATTACTGCCGCCCTTTTATTATTCGTTTGAAAGCAACATGATTAATGGAGAAAATCAATCTGGTATATAGATGAATAATCAAGAATATTGAAATATAGGATTATTTTATATTTAATAGAAAGTATATAATTTAATATTTTAAATAAATATATTATTTATTTATAGATATATACTGTATAAATAGGATTAATAAAAGTTTTTTATATAAAATGAAATTCAATTTATATATTATTTTAGTTTATATTTTTAATTTTAATTTTATTTTTTACCATTTAAAAAAAATAATTCCATTTAATTGTTATTTATAATGAATAAAAAAATATAAAACAAAAACATAATTTATTTATTAATTGAACCAGGTGGAATGGTAATGAGCATATCCCTCCTTTAGTTGAGGACAACGGACGATAACTAACTTGTCAATGATATTTAGAGGTAATGACTTGGTGGGGGTGTCTAAGGTCATTACGTGTTCATAATAACAACAACAACCACTTTCCTTAATATAGTATTTATTTCATTGTTATTAATTACTCATCATGGAGCTTTGGAGCAACATCAATTCAAGAATATTTTCGCGGTGACACCGAAGACGACAGCTCTGTAGACGATGAAGATGAAGGTGTAACAGTGTCAGCCTAGATACTTACAATCGGGAACATGAATAGGTAGATAGTATGGATCAATGAATAAGGTGAGGCGGGCTAGATCATAAATATAGATCCCGAGCAAGTTTATGAAGTTTCGTATTCTTCTAATCATAATAAAACCATATTAACTTGCCCAAATCCTATTTTTTTAAAGAAATAAATAATTGTATTATTTTATATTTATAATTAATATTAAAATAAAAATAAGATAGAGTACCTAATAAAAAAGATTAATAATAATAAATTATATTTATGGTAGGATGTTGGAAAATGAAAGTAAAGAAGGATTTCCTAAAACAATCTTTAAACCTATTTTTTTCTTTTTAGTTTTTGTTTTTTTTATATTATTATTTCTATTTAAAGGTTCATCTTGCAAAATATTAATATTTTATTGAACCTCTTGAAGTTCAAATGAACCTTTTATATTATTTTTCTTTATTTTTTGTTTACTTGTTTTTAGTAATTGATTTTTAGAACGTTTAGTACATAAATAATCTTTTTTAGTACCTTCAGAAATATTTGCTCTTATTTTTCTAGCATAGAAATGTCCAGCCCGTTTTCCTTTTTGGAATTTATGAACACAAAAACTACTATTAATATTTAAATATAAAAAATGATCAAATTCAAATAATTCTTTTATTTTTTTATTAATTTTTTCTCTAATTTTTTCAATAACATTTTTTTTTATAAAATGATCAAATTCTGATTGAATGAACATATTTAATTCATAGCAAAAGTTTTTTTTAGATTAATATGGTTAATAGGAAGGAAATCATTGAGTGCAACTATGGTAATGATTTATATTCTTTTTATTTCTAAAAAAATAGATGATTTTAAAATCTGAAAGGCTACTTATTTATTTTTAAATATAAAATTCAATTTTTTTTTATTTTTATGTTTAGTTAGATAAAATTGAAATTCTGTATTAAAATAATTGATACATATTTATTTTAAAAGAAATAATAAAGTTCTAAATTTATTAAATTTTTCATTATTTTTATTAATATAGTTCTTTTTCATTTTTCATTTTATTTATTTCTTTAGGAATCTGGACCATAAATTTATTTCAAGTTCATATAATAAACCAAATTAACAATATGTAATCCAGTCTCCAAGACTCAGATATATTAAAGGATAAAACGATGGGGATTCATATAACTCAGGATCCCATCTTTATATATACGTCGAGTAATAGGGGGCTAGCTATCATCTAAGTATTGATCTATATCATAACTTCTATCTAGAATATCCACGCCTATTACTCTATATTCAACCATGCGGTTGACCGTAAGTCATCCCATCGTCTGAACCATGCGTTGTCGATCGTCAACCATGCAGGTTGGATATCGTCGTAACGGTATGCACCGTTACATCCTCCCCCGTCTACTTCAAGAGGTCAACTCGAAGTAAAACGTCAGGTGCTCGCCGTCGATCCGTCGACTCGTCCAAAGTAATTCTTGATTTGCGTCGTTTCAATCGCCGTCCTTTGTAGCTCGTTAATGTCTGTGCGTCGATCTGCGAGTAGTATGCACCGTCCTTATGCGCGTCCAAGTGGGTTCGTATGCTGGAACTCTTCTACAGCAGTGACGGATCGTTTTGTGCGTAGACTGGATAGAAATCGTCCCGGTCTAGGGTTCTCCCCCCGCAAATTAAAACGTCGCGAGAGATCTCAAAAGGTGGTCGTCGTGGTGAAATAGACCCAGAGGAACTATAAAAAAAATTATACCACAACCCATTGCACATACAGTTACCTGTTTCGTCTGTGTTTGGGTGGACGACTACGGCGTCGAGGAAGTAAATTCGTATCCGAAGCTTTTGATGGCGTCGCTTCCTTGGATTGTTTGAAGTCTTGAAAAGCCTCGGGCGCATTGGAAAGGTGTTCGGCGGGTTCCCACGTCGCCTCGTGTAAGGGATAACCTTTCCACTTAACCAAATATTGTAGCTTGTTTCGTCGCTTGCGCTCGTCGAGAATGGCTTCAACTTCCCATTCGTCTTCGTCGTCAGAAACATTGGTGATCACTGGTGGTGGCCGTTCTAGCTTGCGTCCCACATCGTCAGGTTCCAAATATTTTTTGAGGGCGCTCACATGGAAAACGTTGTGAGCCCTGATCGAAGCCAGCAAATCAAGCTTGTATGCCACGGATCCAATACATTCAAGGATTTTGTAAGGACCCGCCCACCGTGGAAGTAACTTTCTGGTGGGAGCGTTGGAATAAACATCAGGATTCAAGTAGGTCGTCTTGACTAATACGTCGTCATCCACATCGAATTCTAGATTACGTCGCTTCATATTGGTATACTTGGCTTGGTGATCCGTTGCTTCCTTGATTGCCTCAGTGACTTGAAGACGGATAGACTCCAAACGTGTAGCGAGAACGTCTGCTGAATCAACATCGGAGGAGGCAGATCCCGTGGTCAAAGCGAGTGACACCTGTCGTCCCAAGTCAGCGTGAAAGGGTGTTACCCCTGTAGAAGCGTGCTTGGCGTCGTTGTAGGTGTGCTCGAGGACCGGCAGCCATTCGTCCCAATCCGATTGATTATATGCAACGTAATGACGAAGCATATCTTCAAGCGTTCGATTCGTGCGTTCCGTCTGTCCGTCTGATTCTGGGTGTAGACTGCTGGACAAATTTCTTTGTACCCCAAGCATCGTCGTCAAGGCCTTCCAGAATCTAGAAGTAAAGCGGACATCTCGATCCGAGACTACGTCTGATGGTAAGCCGTGCTGTCGGTATATCTCACGCAAAAACAGATGAGCAAAATCCTCTGCTGTATCAGTCGTCTTGCATGGAGCAAAATGTGCGCGCTTTGAAAACCGATCCACAAAAACGGCAATTGCATCGAACTTATGTAACGTCTTCGGCAAGTGTGTGATAAAATCAACCGAAATCGAGGTCCATCGTCCAGAAGCCAGTTGCAATGGCTGCAACAAGCCTGCTTTTTTGGCATTTGGCAACTTGGTACGCTGGCACATGTCACACGTCGCAATATAACGTCGCACTGTTTTGTTCATATGTGGCCAGTAGTAAGTTCGTCCAAGTCGTTCGACCGTTGCATCGATGCCGCGATGACCGGCGATTGGTGCGTCGTGTGCGTCATGCAAGAGGGTGTTGAGAAGCGTTGGCATGCGCGGCACGCAGATTTGGCGTCGTCCATTTTCTTTGCGATAGATGATGCCGTCGGCTAGTTCGAACTCTTCGTCGTCGTCGTTCGTCCGAAGCCGAGTCAAAACGTCTGCCCAAAAAGAATCGTCCTTGTAGTGCTGAGTGCATTCCTTGCCAAGCGTCTCCCCCCTCACTGTGAGGACCACAGCACAAAGTTCCATTGAGACGTCGGGGTGAGAAGGAGCGTTGGGCGGTCGTTTTGATAGAGCGTCTGCACCAGTATTCTGTTCTCGAGGAATATGATGCACGTTAAACTGATAGGCCATCAGCTTTTCCAACAAGCGGATCTGACGCTTGGAGAGGTTCTTGTTGTTGGCGTGTAACGTCGAGATGGCGCGGCTGTCCGTGAACACTGTGAACTTTTGACCGTCCAGATGATGTCGCCATTGTTCTAAACAGTACGACACTGACAAAAGTTCTTGTTCGTGTACCGGGTAATTCATCTCTGCGCCCTTCAACGTCCTCGAAGCATAAGCAACCGGATGCAATAAACCGTCGTCCTGCTCCTGTGAGAGGATACCACCAATTGACACCGTTGATGAAGCGTCCGTGTGTACGTAAAATGGCGGTCGGGATCCGGGATTGCAAGCACCGGCGCGGAACATAAACGTCGCTTGAGTTCCTGAAAGGATCTTTCACAAGCATCATCCCACTCCCAAGGAACGTCCTTACGCAGTAAGCGATTGAGAGGGGCAGTGAGGCCAGCATATCCATCACAAAAGCGTCGATAGAAATTACACAGGCCTAAAAAGCTCTGGATATGAGCAATTTTCGTTGGTCGTGGCCAGGTGGAAATTGCGTCGAGCTTATGTGGGTCGCATTTGATGCCGTCGCCTGAAACAATGTGGCCAAGAAATTCGACTGAGCGCATCCCAAACTGGCATTTCGACCGCTTCGCGTACAGTTTGTGATGTCGCAACTTTTCCAACACCAACTTCAAGTGCTTAACGTGATCCTCGGCCGTCTTGGAGTAAATCAAGACATCGTCCAAGTAGAGAATCACGAATACGTCGAGATATGGCCTAAACACGTCCGACATTGAACGCATAAAGGTAGCGGGCGCCGATGATAGGCCGAAGGGCATTACTAAGTACTCGTAAAGCCCATATCTCGTCAAGAAGGCCGTCTTGTGTGTATCCTCTCGTCCTTGACCCGGAGTTGCATATAGCCGGAGCGGAGGTCAAGCTTGCTCAAATAGCGCGCCCCAAGAAGCTGGTTCATGAGATCTTCGCACGCCGGTAGAGCGCATTTGGATAGTACACTCGTCTTGTTCAAGGACCAATAATCGATCACCATGCAGAGAGTCTTGTCCTTTTTTGCGACGAACAGGACAGGAGCACCGTAAGGTGACGTCGATGGTCGAATCCAACCCTTAGCCAGCAAGTCGTCGAGCGTTTTCTTGAGCTCAGCCAACTCATGCGTAGAAAGGCGATACATACGATGAGCTGGTACTTTGGCGTCTGGCAGTAAAGGTATGGCGTGTTCGACACTGCGCTTAGGTGGTAGACCGTTGGGAACGTCGTCTGGGAAAACATCTTCGTATTTTTCCAATACGTCGTCAAGTCTAGGAACAAAAACACGATCGCCGTCCACGATTATTTTCTCTGCACATAATACAACAAAACCGTCATCAGTAACGTCATTAACGAGTTTGTTGCCAGTACAATGAGAAACGTACTGTATCTCCTTTGGTGTAGGTGGTGGTCGTGGGTGAACGTCATTCGTACGCCAGTCAATTTCTGGGTTTTCGTCATACAGCCAGCTTTTTCCCAAAATAACGTCATGGTCGTCGCTGCGTATTCCCAAAAAAAGGCGAATAGGTGTTGAAAAGTCGTCCATTACTACTTTTGCGTCCAAGTAGCATGTTGAATCGGTTGTTCGTGCATCGGCAACTTTTACAAAAGAGCCAGGTGTTGATTGAGTTACGGAGATGAGTCCTGTTTGTTTCAGGAACTCAGCCGTCACAAAATCATGTGGTGCCCCGCTATCAATCAAAACCCTTGCTTTGTGCCCACTAATAAAGCCATTTCGTTGGATCAAGATATGTCTAGCAAACTCCAATTCTCCCATATGAACAGTAGCGTCTTTTAAAAAGAAAGCATGGGAAGGTGCAATATTACAAATAAAAGGATCGTCTTTATTTGCAAAAATGCTACTAGGTAAGGAGGAGAGAACGTCTACACTAGTATATGATGATGGAGGGGGGTCGGGAGCCAAAGAGGAACCCTCGTCGCAATGGTCGTCCGCGGGATTAACTAAAGAAGATAATGGCAAAGAATCGTCGCCAACTAGGCCACCAGTAGGAGTGGGCGCGTCTGCTGGTCGAACTAGTTTTTTCCACGGCCTTTGTTCTTCGAAAAGAAGGAGCCGCCGCCGTTGCCGCCGCTGCCCTTGCCGTTGCCGCCGTTGCCTCTTGAGGGCGGATCCGGGAACTTAGGGCAGTCCTTGCCCATGTGGTCGAACCCATAGCAGCGGAAACAGCGACCTTCGGCGATGCACTGCTTGGCAGAAAGGCCGCTTGCTTGGCCGTTGCGTTTCTGCCGAAACTGTTGCTGCGGGTGCCGTTGCTGCTCAGCTGCTTCGACCTCTATAGGGGTCGGGCCGGAGGGGGACAAGCTTGGGCTGTCAGCAGCTCGTAAATTGCTGGCTGACGACGTCGCCAAAGAGTGCGGGCCGGAGAGGACTTGGCCGCGACCGCGAAACGGGCTTGCTTCACCATAGGAGCCGTCGAAGTGCTCCGCCAAAGAGATGGCCTCGTCGAGCGTCGCCGGGTTTCCATGTGTGAGATGGGCGGCCACGGCTGGCTTCAGGCCTTCAATGTAGCGGTGCAAGGCCTCTGTGTCATGGATGTACCCCGCACCGTCTCGGAGACCGAGGAAAGCCTGGGTGTACTGCGCCACAGTACCGTGTTGACGGCACTTGGCCCAGGCTTGACGTCGCAACAGCTGGCTGTTTGTTGGAAGCCACCGTGCTCGGAACACGTCGCAGAAGGACTGCCAACCCGAAGGCATTTTGCCCCTCGTCGTTTCCGTCCGGAACCAGAGCAGGGCCGAGTCGCGCAGCAGCAAGGCAGCGTAGGGAACTTGCTTGCTTGCTGGTACACCTGCCAACGCGAAGTAGTGGTCGAAACCAAAAAGCCAGGCCTCGACGTCCTCTGGTTTCCCCTTGCCATTGAAGGGCGTTGTTGGCGTGGGGATCTTGACGCTCGCGTGCTCCCGTCGCTCGTTGCAGCGGTGACTGCCGCGTCGTCGCGGGTGGCGATCGTCGTCGCTGGAGTCAGAGCCGTTGCTGCTGCCGCTGCCGCTACTGCCGCCATGTCGTCGCGGAGCCTCCGCATAGATCGAGGCCCAAGTGCCGGTGATGTCGTTAACCACCGGTGGTTTGCCGGCCTGGGGCAACTTGTCCTTCGTGGTGGCTGGTGCTGCAGTTGTCGTCGCAGGCTGTGCTGCAGGTGGCACGTTGCTGGACGTCGCATGGCCGGGCGTGGCGGTTGAAACCTGTGGCTGCACCGGTGGGGCCTGCATGTCGTCGAGGCGGGAAGACATGCGCTCAAACATGCCGGCAAAGTTTTCCGCCTGCGTCGCATGTCGCTCGTGCAGTACGGTGATCAGACGGTGCTGATCGGCAACCGTCTGCTGCAGTGCCGTAATACTGACACGCAGTTCGTCCATGGTGCTGGCAAAGTTGGCGTCGCCAGCAGAAAGGAGGGTGCCCAACCGCGTCGTCAGATCGTCGACGGCCACGGTTGTGTGGGTGGCGGCCTCCTCCAGGCGGCCGAAACGACCGTCGATCGTCAACCATGCAGGTTGGATATCGTCGTAACGGTATGCACCGTTACATGAAGATGCTGAAGTTGGATTTTATCTGACATCTAAACAACAATACCGGGATGAGGAGGAAATCGAGAGTTGGAATCTTGAAAATGACGATAGACCTTTAAAACGGCGCCGAATGTTACTAAAAGGTAATATTAACTACGGGTGGGAAAGACGGATCACGGGCTTCATTCTTTCACCATCCCCCACTTTACCAAAACAACAATCATGATGCCCTGTTACAGATCAAGCTCTCGCAGATTGAACTAGGCTCTTTTGTGCGGATAAAGGAAAACTATATAACTGCAAATACAAATACACAAAGGTTCGCTGTTGCATGGCAAACATAATATAAGCCCAATACAGTACATACATAGATTCAACGGAAACCTCAATTTGTATATTAATACAATGTTATTTACATATGTGATGATGATGGAAATTGTTTATAACTTTGATGATTCTTGTCCTTAGAAGGGGTGGGAGGGATATACAAACGGTATATACTAGAGTTGATCACAATTCATAATCATTGATAATGATGATGCTGTCGATGTTGTTGTTGTTGTTGTTGTGGAACGGAGACTCGATTTGTACTAGTGAATGGTCGTAATCGTGGTGATGGAGTTGCTAAAGCACCTCCTGCTCCTCTACGCCTACCGCCACTCGTCGCAACCGATCTTGCCTTGGGTGAAACAACTGTAGCGTAACTATTTCCGACAGCGGCAGTAGGACGATATTGTTGATTGGTGCTATCGACCAGATGTGGATGGACTCCAGTTTGTCGATGATGTTGTACGGTAGCAGCAGGAGGAGGTGCTTGAACCATGTTATTGTTGTCCTTGTAGAAATACGAAGGTGGCAATGACTGTTGCTGCTGTTGTTGTTGAGGATGTCTTGCTGTGCCAGGAGGAGCCTAATTATAATGTTTCTTGAGTGATCAACCAGTTACACATTATAGATCAGTCATGAAAAAAGAGGCTCAGGTATAGCGTATGTAAAGGTTCACTAGATTACATACCATCATCATAACTGATTGTTGCTGGTTCCTCATATTCCGGCGTGCGGTAGCAGGAGGAGGATGATCATGGTGAGGATTTTTGTATTGCTGCTGCTGGTTGTATAATGCTGCTGGTGAATATCTATCATCGAAACTCTGTTGTTGCTGTTGTCGAACATGAGGACGATGATGTACTTCGGGTGGAGGCCCAGGGGTTTCCTCGCGTATCAATTCGGTATAGTCGCCTGGGCTATCGTGCCTGACTGTGCTAGGTGCATAAGGGAATGTGCGTAGTCGTGATGTCTCAGATGCTGCTGGGATATTAAATGTAGGTGCTAATCCAGAGTTCATGGAAACTGGAAAAGAATGAATCAGTAGGGATAATAATATTGAAACCTAATTTATAGATCTAGCTTGCATACTTTATTGCATAGTACCTACTTAAGAGAACTACTGATTTTTGAAGAACGCAAAAGAGCGTCCCCAAGACTACAAGCCAGCCACTATAGGAGCCGTCTTGCTCGCCTTCTCCCATCATATTTCTTTTTCTTCCAAACGATTTCGCACTTGAGGAACCTCTGATATCACTACTGCATTGGTGCTAACATCGCTGTCTGCAATGACTCTCGTCAATTCGCTTCTCGATGGTATCGCCACCACTACCATCTAAAATATAAAATATCATCATATATAAGTTCGACACTCATCAGTAAGCAGTCATCATGACAGGTTTTGATACTACAGATCCTTAGAAACCACACTGGTGATATTGTACCTTTTCTGATATCTTGCGTCATCGCTGATGAGGAGGCGACGGTGCTCGATATACTATTTTTGTCACTATCAATAGCAAGTTCTTCATCTATACTTCCATGCACCTATAGTAATTTAACGGCGTATCCGCATTTCAAGCGTTCTGTTCGTTCTTTGTGCAAAAGCAATCAGAACAGAGAAGTATATATTTGATAGCTGCATTTCATATGTGCTATTGACACAGTGTATTGGCATGATATATACACATCTCAACTGGAGCTTCAACCGCCATAGTGCATGCCAGGATTCAATGCTTTTCGGTTGCTGTTTCGTCTAACTTTGTTTATCTTCACTTTAGCAATCATCACTTTTGTGCATGATGCGCATACAATATTCCAAACTAGCGCATTAAAGCTATCATATCAACCAAGGTATGGATGTTACATCGACATTGAAATCCCGCATTATTGATGCAAACTGGCTACTGATATTTCACTCCTCGCACAACAACTTTGTCAAATCCAAAAAATGAATTCAGGTATGTACTCGTCCATTTCTCTTAAGATAAAACAAAGATAATCTTGAGCAACATGCACTTATCTGGCACTCGATTTAACGTCGCACTGTGTGTGTATGCATTTCGACAACACGTTGTCAATAGAACAATTAGCAATGGCCATTCTGCAAGAAAAGAAACAAAGCCAACAACAAAGGGAAAAAGGAAAATTGCAACAGATCAAAAAGATAACGGATCGAAAAAAAAAAAAAACCACAAAGAAGCAAGTGAAAAGAATGGAGCTAAAGCTGAAAGCTCAAAGACTGCAAGTCATGTCTGAAATAAGAAAAGAATTAAGAATGAAATTGAAGACAAATTCCGAGGTTTGTGTTTTTTTTTCTCCTTTGTTGAATACTATTCAGTAGTGAAATTAACTGGAAAAGTTTTGTAGTGTGAGCAGTACATTAATGAGGTGGCCTTGGAGATCTGGGCTGACACGCCGAGCAAAAGCTTTCAACGAGGCTCGTACTTAGTACATTGGAAGACTGGTGCGCTTCCGAATTACTCCAGGCACTATTGTTGCACAAACACGCACGGTACCATCTTCCATCTATTAGTATGTGTGGATTTTTTTTTGGCAAAGCTACACTATGTTGCATTTCGTGTGTGTGTGTGTGCGTGTTACTCATTTTGAAGCATGGTTTTTTCCTACCTTGTATAGGCCGTCATCGATGCTCTCAGAGCGTGCCCTGTGGATAAGGCTCTTGTGCTTGTTATCGAGAACAAAGCACTCATTAGATGTACGCAAAAAAGAAGGAGGAGGTGGAGGCTTCACTGTTTTTTTTTCTAAAAAAGGGACCATGTGGGATTTTCCCTAACCAAACCGCATTATTTTGTAGTTATCAATGGGCGTAAATACCTGAAAGGCATCTTTGCAACCCACAAAAAGTTATTGAAGCCTTACGTTGATACGCTAAGTGCACAACTCAAAAGCAAGGAAATGCCGGTGATTATTTGATCCTTTTTTTACATCTTCCTCGGTGGTTGAACGGTTAATTAAAGTTCATTTTGATGCAAATGCAGGTTAGAGCCCGTCGCTTCAGCAACTGTGACAGACTCACCGAAGTCGATGGCGCACAAATACTACGAGAACTGTTGCCGCTATCTAACGGTACAATACCGCTTACCACTATTTTACCATCATCATCATCATTAGGTGATCCATCAACATTTTCGATACCACGACCTTTACCGCCGCCCTTTTATTATTCGTCTGAAAGCAACATGACCAATGGAGAAAATCAATCTGGCATATGGAGCTTTGGAGCAACACCAATTCAAGAATATTTTCGCGGTGACGCCGAAGACGACAGCTCTGTAGACGACGAAGATGAAGATGCTGAAGTTGGATTTTATCTGACATCTAAACAACAATACCGGGATGAGGAGGAAATCGAGCGCTGGATCCTTGAAAATGACGATAGACCTTTAAAACGGCGCCGAATGTTACTAGATCAACGGCCGGCATTGACGAAGGAGAAGGAAACCGTGAGCTTGGTCGATCGAGTGAGGAACTTTGTAGGAAGCTTTATTCCCGGTCTAACATAAATATGTTCTTTAGTTGTCAATTGCAATCCTGCAAATACCCCCCTCCCCACCCTCTCACTAGATCGACCCGATTCCTCCAAATCAAAAAACGAACACAGATAGTCTCATTATTCAATTACAAAGTAGCATTCAACAGTATGTCTCAACATAAAATACGTCTTCCTCTCCACTTTAACGTATCATTCGACGAAAAGGCCGCTGGACAATGTTTTATATGTTATTTTTGTACATATTTGTTTAAACTTGAGTTCGAGAATCATAAGTTGTCCTGCAAGGACACGATGATAAGTACTGTAAGCTGAAACAGCCCAAACATATCCCTTACATGCTATGCACCCTCTAAACTAAATGCGCCACATAGCAATAATAATATCTAGCAGGTTGAGTGGTAGGAATAGAAAAAATCTAGACCCAACAGATGTCAGCGAAAAAGGTAATATTAACTACGGGTGGGAAAGACGGATCACGGGCTTCATTCTTTCACCATCCCCCACTTTACCAAAACAACAATCATGATGCCCTGTTACAGATCAAGCTCTCGCAGATTGAACTAGGCTCTTTTGTGCGGATAAAGGAAAACTATATAACTGCAAATACAAATACACAAAGGTTCGCTGTTGCATGGCAAACATAATATAAGCCCAATACAGTACATACATAGATTCAACGGAAACCTCAATTTGTATATTAATACAATGTTATTTACATATGTGATGATGATGGAAATTGTTTATAACTTTGATGATTCTTGTCCTTAGAAGGGGTGGGAAGGGATATACAAACGGTATATACTAGAGTTGATCACAATTCATAATCATTGATAATGATGATGCTGTCGATGTTGTTGTTGTTGTTGTTGTGGAACGGAGACTCGATTTGTACTAGTGAATGGTCGTAATCGTGGTGATGGAGTTGCTAAAGCACCTCCTGCTCCTCTACGCCTACCGCCACTCGTCGCAACCGATCTTGCCTTGGGTGAAACAACTGTAGCGTAACTATTTCCGACAGCGGCAGTAGGACGATATTGTTGATTGGTGCTATCGACCAGATGTGGATGGACTCCAGTTTGTCGATGATGTTGTACGGTAGCAGCAGGAGGAGGTGCTTGAACCATGTTATTGTTGTCCTTGTAGAAATACGAAGGTGGCAATGACTGTTGCTGCTGTTGTTGTTGAGGATGTCTTGCTGTGCCAGGAGGAGCCTAATTATAATGTTTCTTGAGTGATCAACCAGTTACACATTATAGATCAGTCATGAAAAAGAGGCTCAGGTATAGCGTATGTAAAGGTTCACTAGATTACATACCATCATCATAACTGATTGTTGCTGGTTCCTCATATTCCGGCGTGCGGTAGCAGGAGGAGGATGATCATGGTGAGGATTTTTGTATTGCTGCTGCTGGTTGTATAATGCTGCTGGTGAATATCTATCATCGAAACTCTGTTGTTGCTGTTGTCGAACATGAGGACGATGATGTACTTCGGGTGGAGGCCCAGGGGTTTCCTCGCGTATCAATTCGGTATAGTCGCCTGGGCTATCGTGCCTGACTGTGCTAGGTGCATAAGGGAATGTGCGTAGTCGTGATGTCTCAGATGCTGCTGGGATATTAAATGTAGGTGCTAATCCAGAGTTCATGGAAACTGGAAAAGAATGAATCAGTAGGGATAATAATATTGAAACCTAATTTATAGATCTAGCTTGCATACTTTATTGCATAGTACCTACTTAAGAGAACTACGATTTTGAAGAACGCAAAAGAGCGTCCCCAAGACTACAAGCCAGCACTATAGGAGCCGTCTTGGCTCGCCTTCTCCCATCATATTTCTTTTTCTTCCAAACGATTTCGCACTTGAGGAACCTCTGATATCACTACTGCATTGGTTGCTAACATCGCTGTCTGCAATGATCTCTCGTCAATTCGCTTCTCGATATGGTATCGTCACACGCTATCATCGCCACCACTACCATCTAAAATATAAAATATCATCATATATAAGTTCGACACTCATCAGTAAGCAGTCATCATGACAGGTTTTGATACTACAGATCCTTAGAAACCACACTGGTGATATTGTACCTTTTCTGATATCTTGCGTCATCGCTGATGAGGAGGCGACGGTGCTCGATATACTATTTTTGTCACTATCAATAGCAAGTTCTTCATCTATACTTCCATGCACCTATAGTAATTTAACGGCGTATCCGCATTTCAAGCGTTCTGTTCGTTCTTTGTGCAAAAGCAATCAGAACAGAGAAGTATATATTTGATAGCTGCATTTCATATGTGCTATTGACACAGTGTATTGGCATGATATATACACATCTCAACTGGAGCTTCAACCGCCATAGTGCATGCCAGGATTCAATGCTTTTCGGTTGCTGTTTCGTCTAACTTTGTTTATCTTCACTTTAGCAATCATCACTTTTGTGCATGATGCGCATACAATATTCCAAACTAGCGCATTAAAGCTATCATATCAACCAAGGTATGGATGTTACATCGACATTGAAATCCCGCATTATTGATGCAAACTGGCTACTGATATTTCACTCCTCGCACAACAACTTTGTCAAATCCAAAAAATGAATTCAGGTATGTACTCGTCCATTTCTCTTAAGATAAAACAAAGATAATCTTGAGCAACATGCACTTATCTCTGCACTAGTATTTAACGTCGCACTGTGTGTGTATGCATTTCGACAACACGTTGTCAATAGAACAATTAGCAATGGCCATTCTGCAAGAAAAGAAACAAAGCCAACAACAAAGGGAAAAAGGAAAATTGCAACAGATCAAAAAGATAACGGATCGAAAAAAAAAAAAAACCACAAAGAAGCAAGTGAAAAGAATGGAGCTAAAGCTGAAAGCTCAAAGACTGCAAGTCATGTCTGAAATAAGAAAAGAATTAAGAATGAAATTGAAGACAAATTCCGAGGTTTGTGTTTTTTTTTCTCCTTTGTTGAATACTATTCAGTAGTGAAATTAACTGGAAAAGTTTTGTAGTGTGAGCAGTACATTAATGAGGTGGCCTTGGAGATCTGGGCTGACACGCCGAGCAAAAGCTTTCAACGAGGCTCGTATTAGTACATTGGAAGACTGGTGCGCTTCCGAATTACTCCAGGCACTATTGTTGCACAAACACGCACGGTACCATCTTCCATCTATTAGTATGTGTGGATTTTTTTTTTGGCAAAGCTACACTATGTTGCATTTCGTGTGTGTGTGTGTGCGTGTTACTCATTTTGAAGCATGGTTTTTTCCTACCTTGTATAGGCCGTCATCGATGCTCTCAGAGCGTGCCCTGTGGATAAGGCTCTTGTGCTTGTTATCGAGAACAAAGCACTCATTAGATGTACGCAAAAAAGAAGGAGGAGGTGGAGGCTTCACTGTTTTTTTTTCTAAAAAAGGGACCATGTGGGATTTTCCCTAACCAAACCGCATTATTTTGTAGTTATCAATGGGCGTAAATACCTGAAAGGCATCTTTGCAACCCACAAAAAGTTATTGAAGCCTTACGTTGATACGCTAAGTGCACAACTCAAAAGCAAGGAAATGCCGGTGATTATTTGATCCTTTTTTTACATCTTCCTCGGTGGTTGAACGGTTAATTAAAGTTCATTTTGATGCAAATGCAGGTTAGAGCCCGTCGCTTCAGCAACTGTGACAGACTCACCGAAGTCGATGGCGCACAAATACTACGAGAACTGTTGCCGCTATCTAACGGTACAATACCGCTTACCACTATTTTACCATCATCATCATCATTAGGTGATCCATCAACATTTTCGATACCACGACCTTTACCGCCGCCCTTTTATTATTCGTCTGAAAGCAACATGACCAATGGAGAAAATCAATCTGGCATATGGAGCTTTGGAGCAACACCAATTCAAGAATATTCTCGCGGTGACGCCGAAGACGACAGCTCTGTAGACGACGAAGATGAAGATGCTGAAGTTGGATTTTATCTGACATCTAAACAACAATACCGGGATGAGGAGGAAATCGAGCGCTGGATCCTTGAAAATGACGATAGACCTTTAAAACGGCGCCGAATGTTACTAGATCAACGGCCGGCATTGACGAAGGAGAAGGAAACCGTGAGCTTGGTCGATCGAGTGAGGAACTTTGTAGGAAGCTTTATTCCCGGTCTAACATAAATATGTTCTTTAGTTGTCAATTGCAATCCTGCAAATACCCCCCTCCCCACCCTCTCACTAGATCGACCCGATTCCTCCAAATCAAAAAACGAACACAGATAGTCTCATTATTCAATTACAAAGTAGCATTCAACAGTATGTCTCAACATAAAATACGTCTTCCTCTCCACTTTAACGTATCATTCGACGAAAAGGCCGCTGGACAATGTTTTATATGTTATTTTTGTACATATTTGTTTTAAACTTGAGTTCGAGAATCATAAGTTGTCCTGCAAGGACACGATGATAAGTACTGTAAGCTGAAACAGCCCAAACATATCCCTTACATGCTATGCACCCTCTAAACTAAATGCGCCACATAGCAATAATAATATCTAGCAGGTTGAGTGGTAGGAATAGAAAAAATCTAGACCCAACAGATGTCAGCGAAAAAGGTAATATTAACTACGGGTGGGAAAGACGGATCACGGGCTTCATTCTTTCACCATCCCCCACTTTACCAAAACAACAATCATGATGCCCTGTTACAGATCAAGCTCTCGCAGATTGAACTAGGCTCTTTTGTGCGGATAAAGGAAAACTATATAACTGCAAATACAAATACACAAAGGTTCGCTGTTGCATGGCAAACATAATATAAGCCCAATACAGTACATACATAGATTCAACGGAAACCTCAATTTGTATATTAATACAATGTTATTTACATATGTGATGATGATGGAAATTGTTTATAACTTTGATGATTCTTGTCCTTAGAAGGGGTGGGAAGGGATATACAAACGGTATATACTAGAGTTGATCACAATTCATAATCATTGATAATGATGATGCTGTCGATGTTGTTGTTGTTGTTGTTGTGGAACGGAGACTCGATTTGTACTAGTGAATGGTCGTAATCGTGGTGATGGAGTTGCTAAAGCACCTCCTGCTCCTCTACGCCTACCGCCACTCGTCGCAACCGATCTTGCCTTGGGTGAAACAACTGTAGCGTAACTATTTCCGACAGCGGCAGTAGGACGATATTGTTGATTGGTGCTATCGACCAGATGTGGATGGACTCCAGTTTGTCGATGATGTTGTACGGTAGCAGCAGGAGGAGGTGCTTGAACCATGTTATTGTTGTCCTTGTAGAAATACGAAGGTGGCAATGACTGTTGCTGCTGTTGTTGTTGAGGATGTCTTGCTGTGCCAGGAGGAGCCTAATTATAATGTTTCTTGAGTGATCAACCAGTTACACATTATAGATCAGTCATGAAAAAAGAGGCTCAGGTATAGCGTATGTAAAGGTTCACTAGATTACATACCATCATCATAACTGATTGTTGCTGGTTCCTCATATTCCGGCGTGCGGTAGCAGGAGGAGGATGATCATGGTGAGGATTTTTGTATTGCTGCTGCTGGTTGTATAATGCTGCTGGTGAATATCTATCATCGAAACTCTGTTGTTGCTGTTGTCGAACATGAGGACGATGATGTACTTCGGGTGGAGGCCCAGGGGTTTCCTCGCGTATCAATTCGGTATAGTCGCCTGGGCTATCGTGCCTGACTGTGCTAGGTGCATAAGGGAATGTGCGTAGTCGTGATGTCTCAGATGCTGCTGGGATATTAAATGTAGGTGCTAATCCAGAGTTCATGGAAACTGGAAAAGAATGAATCAGTAGGGATAATAATATTGAAACCTAATTTATAGATCTAGCTTGCATACTTTATTGCATAGTACCTACTTAAGAGAACTACTGATTTTTGAAGAACGCAAAAGAGCGTCCCCAAGACTACAAGCCAGCCACTATAGGAGCCGTCTTGCTCGCCTTCTCCCATCATATTTCTTTTTCTTCCAAACGATTTCGCACTTGAGGAACCTCTGATATCACTACTGCATTGGTGCTAACATCGCTGTCTGCAATGACTCTCGTCAATTCGCTTCTCGATGGTATCGCCACCACTACCATCTAAAATATAAAATATCATCATATATAAGTTCGACACTCATCAGTAAGCAGTCATCATGACAGGTTTTGATACTACAGATCCTTAGAAACCACACTGGTGATATTGTACCTTTTCTGATATCTTGCGTCATCGCTGATGAGGAGGCGACGGTGCTCGATATACTATTTTTGTCACTATCAATAGCAAGTTCTTCATCTATACTTCCATGCACCTATAGTAATTTAACGGCGTATCCGCATTTCAAGCGTTCTGTTCGTTCTTTGTGCAAAAGCAATCAGAACAGAGAAGTATATATTTGATAGCTGCATTTCATATGTGCTATTGACACAGTGTATTGGCATGATATATACACATCTCAACTGGAGCTTCAACCGCCATAGTGCATGCCAGGATTCAATGCTTTTCGGTTGCTGTTTCGTCTAACTTTGTTTATCTTCACTTTAGCAATCATCACTTTTGTGCATGATGCGCATACAATATTCCAAACTAGCGCATTAAAGCTATCATATCAACCAAGGTATGGATGTTACATCGACATTGAAATCCCGCATTATTGATGCAAACTGGCTACTGATATTTCACTCCTCGCACAACAACTTTGTCAAATCCAAAAAATGAATTCAGGTATGTACTCGTCCATTTCTCTTAAGATAAAACAAAGATAATCTTGAGCAACATGCACTTATCTGGCACTCGATTTAACGTCGCACTGTGTGTGTATGCATTTCGACAACACGTTGTCAATAGAACAATTAGCAATGGCCATTCTGCAAGAAAAGAAACAAAGCCAACAACAAAGGGAAAAAGGAAAATTGCAACAGATCAAAAAGATAACGGATCGAAAAAAAAAAAAAACCACAAAGAAGCAAGTGAAAAGAATGGAGCTAAAGCTGAAAGCTCAAAGACTGCAAGTCATGTCTGAAATAAGAAAAGAATTAAGAATGAAATTGAAGACAAATTCCGAGGTTTGTGTTTTTTTTTCTCCTTTGTTGAATACTATTCAGTAGTGAAATTAACTGGAAAAGTTTTGTAGTGTGAGCAGTACATTAATGAGGTGGCCTTGGAGATCTGGGCTGACACGCCGAGCAAAAGCTTTCAACGAGGCTCGTACTTAGTACATTGGAAGACTGGTGCGCTTCCGAATTACTCCAGGCACTATTGTTGCACAAACACGCACGGTACCATCTTCCATCTATTAGTATGTGTGGATTTTTTTTTGGCAAAGCTACACTATGTTGCATTTCGTGTGTGTGTGTGTGCGTGTTACTCATTTTGAAGCATGGTTTTTTCCTACCTTGTATAGGCCGTCATCGATGCTCTCAGAGCGTGCCCTGTGGATAAGGCTCTTGTGCTTGTTATCGAGAACAAAGCACTCATTAGATGTACGCAAAAAAGAAGGAGGAGGTGGAGGCTTCACTGTTTTTTTTTTTCTAAAAAAGGGACCATGTGGATTTTCCCTAACCAAACCGCATTATTTTGTAGTTATCAATGGGCGTAAATACCTGAAAGGCATCTTTGCAAACCACAAAAAGTTATTGAAGCCTTACGTTGATACGCTAAGTGCACAACTCAAAAGCAAGGAAATGCCGGTGATTATTTGATCCTTTTTTTACATCTTCCTCGGTGGTTGAACGGTTAATTAAAGTTCATTTTGATGCAAATGCAGGTTAGAGCCCGTCGCTTCAGCAACTGTGACAGACTCACCGAAGTCGATGGCGCACAAATACTACGAGAACTGTTGCCGCTATCTAACGGTACAATACCGCTTACCACTATTTTACCATCATCATCATCATTAGGTGATCCATCAACATTTTCGATACCACGACCTTTACCGCCGCCCTTTTATTATTCGTCTGAAAGCAACATGACCAATGGAGAAAATCAATCTGGCATATGGAGCTTTGGAGCAACACCAATTCAAGAATATTTTCGCGGTGACGCCGAAGACGACAGCTCTGTAGACGACGAAGATGAAGATGCTGAAGTTGGATTTTATCTGACATCTAAACAACAATACCGGGATGAGGAGGAAATCGAGCGCTGGATCCTTGAAAATGACGATAGACCTTTAAAACGGCGCCGAATGTTACTAGATCAACGGCCGGCATTGACGAAGGAGAAGGAAACCGTGAGCTTGGTCGATCGAGTGAGGAACTTTGTAGGAAGCTTTATTCCCGTCTAACATAAATATGTTCTTTAGTTGTCAATTGCAATCCTGCAAATACCCCCCTCCCCACCCTCTCACTAGATCGACCCGATTCCTCCAAATCAAAAAACGAACACAGATAGTCTCATTATTCAATTACAAAGTAGCATTCAACAGTATGTCTCAACATAAAATACGTCTTCCTCTCCACTTTAACGTATCATTCGACGAAAAGGCCGCTGGACAATGTTTTATATGTTATTTTTGTACATATTGTTTTAAACTTGAGTTCGAGAATCATAAGTTGTCCTGCAAGGACACGATGATAAGTACTGTAAGCTGAAACAGCCCAAACATATCCCTTACATGCTATGCACCCTCTAAACTAAATGCGCCACATAGCAATAATAATATCTAGCAGGTTGAGTGGTAGGAATAGAAAAAATCTAGACCCAACAGATGTCAGCGAAAAAGGTAATATTAACTACGGGTGGGAAGACGGATCACGGGCTTCATTCTTTCACCATCCCCCACTTTACCAAAACAACAATCATGATGCCCTGTTACAGATCAAGCTCTCGCAGATTGAACTAGGCTCTTTTGTGCGGATAAAGGAAAACTATATAACTGCAAATACAAATACACAAAGGTTCGCTGTTGCATGGCAAACATAATATAAGCCCAATACAGTACATACATAGATTCAACGGAAACCTCAATTTGTATATTAATACAATGTTATTTACATATGTGATGATGATGGAAATTGTTTATAACTTTGATGATTCTTGTCCTTAGAAGGGGTGGGAAGGGATATACAAACGGTATATACTAGAGTTGATCACAATTCATAATCATTGATAATGATGATGCTGTCGATGTTGTTGTTGTTGTTGTTGTGGAACGGAGACTCGATTTGTACTAGTGAATGGTCGTAATCGTGGTGATGGAGTTGCTAAAGCACCTCCTGCTCCTCTACGCCTACCGCCACTCGTCGCAACCGATCTTGCCTTGGGTGAAACAACTGTAGCGTAACTATTTCCGACAGCGGCAGTAGGACGATATTGTTGATTGGTGCTATCGACCAGATGTGGATGGACTCCAGTTTGTCGATGATGTTGTACGGTAGCAGCAGGAGGAGGTGCTTGAACCATGTTATTGTTGTCCTTGTAGAAATACGAAGGTGGCAATGACTGTTGCTGCTGTTGTTGTTGAGGATGTCTTGCTGTGCCAGGAGGAGCCTAATTATAATGTTTCTTGAGTGATCAACCAGTTACACATTATAGATCAGTCATGAAAAAAGAGGCTCAGGTATAGCGTATGTAAAGGTTCACTAGATTACATACCATCATCATAACTGGATTGTTGCTGGTTCCTCATATTCCGGCGTGCGGTAGCAGGAGGAGGATGATCATGGTGAGGATTTTTGTATTGCTGCTGCTGGTTGTATAATGCTGCTGGTGAATATCTATCATCGAAACTCTGTTGTTGCTGTTGTCGAACATGAGGACGATGATGTACTTCGGGTGGAGGCCCAGGGGTTTCCTCGCGTATCAATTCGGTATAGTCGCCTGGGCTATCGTGCCTGACTGTGCTAGGTGCATAAGGGAATGTGCGTAGTCGTGATGTCTCAGATGCTGCTGGGATATTAAATGTAGGTGCTAATCCAGAGTTCATGGAAACTGGAAAGAATGAATCAGTAGGGATAATAATATTGAAACCTAATTTATAGATCTAGCTTGCCATACTTTATTGCATAGTACCTACTTAAGAGAACTACTGATTTTTGAAGAACGCAAAAGAGCGTCCCCAAGACTACAAGCCAGCCACTATAGGAGCCGTCTTGCTCGCCTTCTCCCATCATATTTCTTTTTCTTCCAAACGATTTCGCACTTGAGGAACCTCTGATATCACTACTGCATTGGTGCTAACATCGCTGTCTGCAATGACTCTCGTCAATTCGCTTCTCGATGGTATCGCCACCACTACCATCTAAAATATAAAATATCATCATATATAAGTTCGACACTCATCAGTAAGCAGTCATCATGACAGGTTTTGATACTACAGATCCTTAGAAACCACACTGGTGATATTGTACCTTTTCTGATATCTTGCGTCATCGCTGATGAGGAGGCGACGGTGCTCGATATACTATTTTTGTCACTATCAATAGCAAGTTCTTCATCTATACTTCCATGCACCTATAGTAATTTAACGGCGTATCCGCATTTCAAGCGTTCTGTTCGTTCTTTGTGCAAAAGCAATCAGAACAGAGAAGTATATATTTGATAGCTGCATTTCATATGTGCTATTGACACAGTGTATTGGCATGATATATACACATCTCAACTGGAGCTTCAACCGCCATAGTGCATGCCAGGATTCAATGCTTTTCGGTTGCTGTTTCGTCTAACTTTGTTTATCTTCACTTTAGCAATCATCACTTTTGTGCATGATGCGCATACAATATTCCAAACTAGCGCATTAAAGCTATCATATCAACCAAGGTATGGATGTTACATCGACATTGAAATCCCGCATTATTGATGCAAACT